GTCAAAAGAGAGTGAGCCTTGATGCAACAGTAAATTGTGGCTACAGAAACAACCTCTTTGCTTACAACAGAAAGCCAAATACAAATAATTATCTTCGAACTCCATAAGAGTGGAATCCTTTTGCCTTGTGCCAAATTTAATGTCCAGAGCACGTCAAGAGAGTGAGACTTGATGCAACAGTAAATTCTAGCTACAGAAACTACCTCTTTGCTTACAACAGATAGCCAAATACAAATAATTATCTTCGAACTCCATAAGAGTGGAATCCTTTTGCATTGTGCCAAATTTAATGTCCAGAACACGTCAAGAGAGTGAGACTTGACGCAACAGTAAATTCTAGCTACAGAAACTACCTCTTTGCTTACAACAGATAGCCAAATACAAATAATTATCTCCAAACGCCACAAGAGTGGAATCCTTTTGCATTGTGCTGCTCTTTTAATCAACTTCTCCAAACTTGCCAAGTTTAAAGACAAGGTATGATAAGTGACTTCATTGCAAGATCAGAAACACTTTATCCTAATGTCTGTGTTATGTGTTTTTTTTCCAATCGTGAGACTAGTTGGTATCTATTTCTAACTTTGGAGGGAGCTTTGACATTCCAAAACAAGGTTATATTTAGAACAATTTTTTTACGGGTTAGGTTCTGACTTCTGAATCAAGTGTTGGGAAACAAACATGCAAGTGAAAGAACAAGAGGAATTAAAGCACCAAACCCTCTTATCTAGAAAAGATAAAAGTCAAGCACACATAGCAAAGAAGATTTGTCTTTTCCAGTAAGGAACCTTCTCCACGAGTTACTTCCTGACACTCTTTTAAGATAAACTCGTTAGGAGTAGATTTTGCATCCGTTACTTCCCAAACACCTCAGTTTCCAAAATGAATTGTTAGTCCAATAGTGATGCCCCTCATTGAGCCCAAAGGTATACTTATATTTATCAAACTTTCAATGTCTAATCACGTATTCCACTTCTACTGTATCCATCAAACTGTTCAACAGTTTCAAACAAATCCCTTATCTTAGAAACAGAAAATAACATGAACTCTACGTTTCTACAAAATTTTGGTTACCAAATAACTTAACTCATTTTATAACCATCAAAAACAAGTAATGTAGTACTAGTACTGGAACACTTTCCCCCTTGGACTATATACCTAACTATAAACTCTACGAACTGTCTTCAGTACATATTCTGAACTAAAGGTATCACACAACACTTCTCCACAAGCAAATAAGCCTTCTAAATCATCAGACAAGTGTCACACAGCTAAAACTAGGCTACTCCTCTATTCCAACTGATTCCAACCTAAACATACAGGACAAGCATTTGAAATTAAAAACTGCCAAATGCACTAAATTTCAGCAAGGATAAAAAAAATGGGGAACTTACATAAACACGAGCCACAATGTAATAGAAAGTAACAGGAATCCGAAGAGGAAATTGACAGGAGAAGCCGCCATTTTGGAAGGAGAAAAGCAGTTGTTAGCAGAAAACGGCAGAATTTCAATCATACTCGCGAAATTCCGCAAGAAGAAACGCGAACACGGTTGTGTGGCGTGACTTCATAGGAATGAAGTCGACAAGGATAAGGAAGAAGAGAAAAGGAAAAGAAGAACCCTAGAAAGAAAAAGAAGTGAGGACTCTTATAACTTGTTCTGTGAAAGCGTCTTGATCGGAAGCGTTCTTTGATCTTATATAGTTGATTGCTCAGATCCGATCCATGAGGTGCTCGGTGATCCAAGGCACGAAGACAGTGGTTAGTGAGAGAAAAATGGGAGGAGTCATAGGGTGCGACGCGGGTGCAGGAGAGGTTGCGTGCGGATACGTGCGGCGAGAGTCACTGTTTGTGCAAGAATTTATAACAGCGAACCTAATACGTGGCTCCGTAGTAAAACGAGAGAGAGATTTTTTTCAACGATCCATGGCGGTTACTCGCTGTCTTGGTTTCTTCCCCGCGCACATAGGCGCATGGATCAATCTTTCAATAGCTTCTTCACCGTAGTTTAGTTGTTCAAGGTATCTTTATGTCACTTCCACTTGTTTATACGTATTACTACTACGTCTCTAATTTTGTTTACACGTTCCAATTTTTCCTTTTATGTATTTCTGATCAATTTAAATATTTTAAGGTTTTGCGATTATCAAATTTAAATACTCAATTTAAGTGATTAAAAAGTAAGGATCTTTTATTAAAATAATTTCATACAAAATCTTCATTTCTAATAGTTTAAAACCAATATTTAAGATAAATGATTGTAAAACTAAATCTTTTTATTATATTCTTATGATCTGAACTGTTACTTTTAATAAATAAATTATATTTCAAAAACTGATTAAAAAGTCTTAAAATGATAAAAAGTTGAGTTTGTTTGAATAACTAATGTAATAGAGATAATGTAAATTTTTTTAGAGGATTTAAATTATTTTGTTTAAAAAATACTTAATAAAAACAACAACAGCATTTCTTTGGATTGAATATTGTATTTAGAAACTATTTGTCTTGAGTTATCATGTGTAAAAAATTCTTCAGAGTTACATGAAATTAGATACCACTCCAAACTTGTAACTATGAGTTACATGTCTCTTTATTTACTTTTACGGCTTAAAAGACTCTTTTGTAAACAAGTACAACACCTCACATGTACATATAAATGCAAAGAATTGGTTTTGTTATGAACTTGTTGAAAAGCCCAGCTTAAGGATAAGATCAATTCACAACAAGCTTCCAAACAAAGACAAAAACCAGACGAGAGTTTAGAATTGCATTAATTCAATTTCTTATTAAGTTACAGAAAATGATTAACCCTAGTGTCGAGGATAAGCAACTAAATTATATATATATATATAATATAAAAGCTTAATAAATATTATATATATAATATATATTTTCAATAACAAAAGAAATATTATTTTTATATGCTTAAATTCAACTAAAGAATAGAGTTAATAAAGATGCATTTAAAATTCAATCAACTTTTCACAACAAAAACAGAAAAAGAAAAAAAAAACTTGCAACTTCATTTTCAAATGTCCAGTAAAAAGGGATATTGAAACAATTAAAAGTTAAACTTTTTATTGAAAATATTATTTGTTACATTAAAATAAATATTATATAAAATAATAATAATAAATCATTTTTTACTTGAAATAGTTTTTAAAATAACTAATATTTAACATATATTTGGTATGTAAATTTGAGTCTTTAATATGAAAATGAGAATTTTTTATACGTACACTTTTTTGGATCTGTTTAGTTTAAAGAGACTTTTTAAATTTATTTTTTATATGAAGTCTTTTTCTATGATATTCTCTTATCAATTCTCAACTTAGTAATGAAAAAATCAAACATTTTTTTTATATTTTTAATATATTTATTTCATTTAATATTTTTATAATGTATTAAAAGGATTGTTGCACTAGAATATAGTATTACTATTTTTTCAATTATTTTTATTTTCTCAAAAAGAAACATATACGTAAAGAAGTGTTGAACGAATTTTAAGAATAATTATATGAACTAACTTGATTTTCAATATTTTGATTTATCTCTAAAATATTGAGAACTATTAGGTAGCTTGATAAAAATGAAGTTTTGAAAATAATAATTCACGGAATTAAAACTTCTTAACCGTAATAGATAAAAAGTTAAACCAAATAATAATTCACAAAAAATAAATTATAATTATTTTTACTAATAATATAACGAGTTTTAATTTTGAAATCGTCATAAAAGAATTTTATTTTCATAATCTTATAGTTTATCACAACTATGTATATGCAATATTTAAAAAAATAATTATATAATATACAAATATTTTATTATTTTTTAATTTGTTCCCGTATACAGGATACAATAGTCTTTAATAATCTATTTTTCTGTTCGATGGAAAAGGTACTTACAAAAGATATTATGATAATAAAGTCATATATCGGTTTAGACAATAAATGTTATTTATATTTTCAAAAGTCTACGTTTATCTGTATCTTTTACTTTCTTTTTATAGGCAATTTATTGTATTAAGGAACTTCATAACTCATTTTTGTCATAAACCTTTCGTTTATTTAGATAATTAACAGTTTATTTGCTTTAATTTTGTTTAATCATTTCTAAGTTATCTTAATCTTGACTAGATGGATGTTCATCTTAAACTGAAGAAGTATTCGGATTCATTCTTTTGTTATAGTGACCGAGTAGAATATCTTACCCAGTACATGATTTGTACCAATAATAATATTAACGATGTTATAATGATAAATCTTAAAATATAATAAAGTAATTATATAAAAACTAAAATATATTTTTTTAAATGCAAAAATTAATTCTTAAACGAATATTAATTATAAAGATTAAAAGTATATTTTAACCAAAAATTTTTTAAAAAATTAATGAATTTATTTAAAAAATAAAAAATCAATATTAAATAAAACAATCATAAATTTTTAAAAAATTTAAAACTTATATTTAAATTAAATATCATTAATAAATTAATATTATATATTTATTAATAAAATTTTATTGATTTGATAAATATATAAATTAATAAAAAAATAATTATAACTAATAAAATATTAATAATAATTTATATATAACAAATATTTTTACAGTAGATAAAAAAATATATAAACATACTAATTTCTTGAGTTGATATAATAAGACAAAATTTAACATCACTATATATATTTATTTATTTATCTATGGTAATAAAAAAGTAGAAAAAATTTTATAAATCTCTACCCATATAATTTTTCATAATATTTAAAAAGTTTTAATCAAATCATTTTAGTTGATTTTATGATTAAGTATAGGCAGATAATTAAATTTGTAGTGAAACTACAAGGACCTGTTAATTAATTTAATACAAAAATTCTTGTTTTTTTTTTCAAAAAAGGTCCATTAGACATAACCCAACCAGCCCAAACAATGGGCCGTTCCAGTGGCAAACTGGCAATAGCATGCTGCGTGGCCCATCACGCCTCGCAACTTATTACTCCCCTCAGCAACAGTAAATTTCCCTTCCAGAACTTAATTCGCAAATCCCTTTTTCCGCCGCAGCATCTGACATCCACCGTTCTCCGCTTTCTCTGGCTTTGGTTGTTACTATTTCCTCTGTCGCTCTCTGCGTTTTTTTTTTTCTGTATCAATCTTATTTCTCAAAAATGCAGGGTTAGAGATTGTTGATAATCGTTGCAAATCATGGAAAATACTGCGAAACATTTAATCAATGACGATACCACGCAAAAGTATGTTTATTTCTCTGCTTGTACTAGAACATGGTTCAATTGCTGTTTGCTTAAGACATAGACTGGGTAAACTTTTTGATAATTACGAGAAGAAATATGGGAGGAGCTTGATTCATTTTACTTCATTATCTTTGTTTTTTATAAGTATTCATTGAAAAGCTTGTTCAAACTGGGCCTCAATGTGTGTTTGGAAGTTCACTGAAATAACGTTAAAACACACTTCAGCATGAAAGCTATAATTTATAGCGTTAGAATGGATTTATGTTTGAGCGAATTTAACGTCAATCCAAACAAACCGTTAAAACTTTCTGATACACGAATAATTGCTTCAATATCTGTATCGTGTTTGCAGAGAAGCACCTCAACTTGCTGTACTGTTGAAAGAAATGAAGGAAGGGCTTGATGCCGTAAGGCGTAAAATCCAATCTTTAACTGCCAAGGTGATATGCACTTTTTTTTTATCATTCCTTGAACGTTTTCTAATTTGATTTTATCTTCAAATTCATAATGCTGCTACTTTAAAACTTTCTTTAGTTTGGACTTGCAGCTTCTAGAATAGTCATCTTGCTTGATCTCTTCAATTATTTGATATACTTATGTTAATTTAATAGCAATTCATGTCTCGTGTGTCAGGTGAAAGAAGGTCAATATCCTACAGCAGATGGATTCAGTTATCTTGAAGCTAAAAATATGCTGCTTTTGAATTATTGCCAATCCCTTGTTTATTATTTGTTGCGGAAGGCTAAGGGATTATCAATAGAAGATCATCCTGTTGTTCGAAGTATTGTAGAGATAAGATTATATTTAGAAAAGGTTTGGTTTTATTCTTTTGTGTGATAATCCTCTGGGTTTACCTATATGTATTTACATGATATCATGTGTGTTAGACATTTGACGCCCTGGTTTCCTTCGCAGATTAGGTCAATCGACAAAAAACAACAATACCAAATCCAGAAACTAATGAAAGCTAGTGAAAATGCTGCCAGAAGTGATATTCAAAGCGAGAAGGAGACAATTGCATCCAATAAGAGTGAGGATGTGTCAAAGTATCGTCCAAATCCTGATATGCTTGTTAGCAAATTAGACTTGACCTTGCAGGTGAGTGTATGCAACAATATCAAGTGTAAATTATGGTATGCTGTGGGGTGGTAATATGCAAAACATCTTTTTACCTTCTCCAGCTAACTTAACTTTTCAATGCTGTAGGATGGGAATGATTCGTATCAACCTGTAAAATTTGCTCCTACTTCAATGGATCTAGATAAAGCATCAAAGCATGAAAAAAATGCCCTGCGAAGAGAAAAAGAAATTCTGAAACAAGCTAAGCAGAGTGATTATATAAGGACATTAATGAATGATATGGAGGAAAGACCTGAAGAGGTGACATTATAGTTTATTTTTGTTTTGGAATCATAATGACTTAATAAGTTTACATATTGATTTGTTTTGGCTGCCCACTACCCAGTTAAGAGATTTTGAGGGAACTAGCAGAGAAGTTGATAGATATGTTGCCAAGATGGAGGAACGTGCTCAGCAAGAAGAGGAGCTGTTCACTCGTGTTCCTCTTACAAAACAAGAGAGGAAGAGAGAAAAGTACCTAAAGAAATCAAGAAATGGGTACGGGAAGAGTTTGGAAAGTTTGCTGGACATTTCTACAGTCTTAAAAGGCATTAACTGCATTATAACATTTTTATTTAAATACTTGTTTCACTTATTGATTTTGTTCATTCTACTTCAGGTTGCAAGGTTTAACAGAAAGTTTCTATGATGAAATTAAAGCATTACCCATTGAAGATGAAACTGGAGAGCAAGTAATGGGGTCTAGTAATGTTAGCAGCAGAAACAGTAGACTGAAGAAGCGTAAGGCATGTACTTTTAATACTTTGAAATTGTTATATGGAAATTATAATTACTATTATGAACAGCAATATGAAATTCTGATTAAGTTGAAGTATGGTGGATGTGATTTACATACTGTTGCATCAAACTTAATTATTTGATGGGCACCTTCTACATACTTTAAATTCCTATTGATTCTTTGTCCATTGTATGTAACAAATAATCCATTTAAAATCAGTATGCCTTATATCCTTTGTTTTATGCAGTTCTATTGCTTTATAATTTTAATTTATGGAATATATCATTGTATGAGCTGATTCCTTGCTGTCTAACCTTATTGCTGCCAATTGAATTTTATTATTTTAGCCAACAGATAGCCTTATTGGGATCCTTATTTTGTAAATTGTTGTTATTTCCTGCTATGATTTTTGCCTCTATGGAGTAAGCATGTTGAATTATCGATCTAATATTTGTGGTTATGTTCAAAACCAATTTTTGGTACGACGAATTTATACTATATGTACAGTTGTCTACATATTTTGAGCTATGTACTAAATAAAATAATCAAAACTGATACAATGATAACCCGAATAAGAATTACAATTACATGAATGTCCTTTGAAACAATTTACTCCTGAACACAATTTTTTATATATTTGAGTATTGAATTTCTTACTTCAACGATATACACTCTTCCATACCTTATGTTTGTCTTACAATTATAATTTCAACAGTAGTGTATGCAAAAAGCAATTGACTTGGTAGATTTTTCAGTTGAGTCAGGACTAACAATTTTTGCCGTCCCCGCAGAGGAAACACTGAAGGAAGAAAGAAAATTACGGTTTTGACCCAAAGGACTGAAGTGTCATCTGGAAAACTGACTACTGCAAGCGGTTGGAGGAAGTAATATTAGAGGTCGATGCAAGGAAATGTAAACTAGAGAATTGATATTAATGCATTCCTCCTTATTCCGTTGAAGATTTTATTATTATCATCGGCTCGAGTGCGTCGTTGGGAACCTGGGGTGGAGATTTTTCAAGAAATGAAATGAGTGTCTTTTTGCTATTGCCATTATGCACCCAATTTTGTGATGCACGTGGATTTTTTCTAATCCACCTTCTGATATTCAGTGTACTGCAGCATATCAAACTAAATATTTACTGAGTAAATTTAACATTCTGCGTTTTTTATACTAAAGTCCGCAGGTGAACATGTAGGGCAACTGGTTCTTCGGTAAATTGGACCCAACGCCCGTCTGATGTCTAAACAGTAGCGTTTAAACTCGAGTTGGTTATGCTCGAAGATTATCAACACTTCAGATTCGTAATCTTTTACAAACCATATATTGTGATGCATGGTAGTAAAGAAAACTTTTAAAACACGATTATGCATAAATTGGAAAAATAGACATTTAAAAAAGAACGAATTTATGAAACAGGTTCATTTTTCAAGATTGCGTGAAAGAAAGGCAATGTGACACATCGATTCCTATCGAATATGATCTTCTAATTCGAGGATAAAATATTTTGAGGATACAGTGTACTAATAACACTTTAATTTTGAATTTATGGCTGTGATTATAGCAAACTTCAAAAATTTGTATGTTGATTTTGTAATCTATGGTGTAAATGCACCTTATACTCTAAAGTGCAGCTTTCTTACTTCACTAGAACTGAATCTGTTACAATCATTTATGTTGATCTTCTGAAAAGTACCCACCTCATATATCTCATCGTAAAACTCTTATAATCAAGATTTCACTTCAATTTTGTATCGACTTTTCTCTATTTTCTTATAACGGTGTTAAGAAAAAAACCAATTAGGTTACTGAACTTAAAAAGTAGTCGTATTTCAGACAACATTTATCTGCTTCTAAATATTGATGTACAGGAAATTATTCTTGCACAAGCCATCAGAGATATCTGCACAATCTCGAGTAAAAAGATACAATGATCCAATGGCTGAAGGAGGAAGTTCGACATCATGAAGCAGCTAAGTGACCCTTAAAACGTGGAAACTGGATAAATTTTCCTCCCAAGAATAATCGTCGTGGGTAAGAGTGCCTCAGGGCTGACATTCTTAGTGTGGCAAGGGTGCCTGGCTGATAGTTCCTCAGCATTGGTTTCGTGAAATGGAACCGTTTCAGTCATCTTCAGAACTATTCCTTGCAGGTCGAGTCGTGTTGTACAGAAAAAGACCACATAGAAGAATGGCACAGCCGAGCAGAAAAAATGGGCTCAGGCTTGTTCCCTCAGGAAGATATGGTAATGGAAGGGAAAGAATATAAATAGAAATTGGCACTACAAAAATCATAAGCACTCGTGAGCTAAAAATAAAGGTCATAAGAAAACATGATGTACAAAAGAGTGAAAGACATTGTGAGTTACAACTTACAAGTTTTGATGGCATGCGGTAAGAAGCATTTAAGAGATGCACAAATAACTAAATATATATAAAGAGATAGAGTGTACCTGACAACATTACCAACAGAGAAGCAACAACTGCGGAAGAAGTTTTTACTACATTAAGCAGGGATATGTTGAATGCCAAATTGGTAATTACGTAAAGTAGTGGAAGCAAGGGAGCGCCATCACAATCTGAGATAAGGAAATTGGCAAGAAATATGGACAAATTAGAACAGCATGGTGCAAAAGGATTTTCGACGTAGTTCAAAACCATTAAATGGGAAAAAGAGCTAATAAATGTTCATTTTCATATGTTGGTTGTGAGACAGTTCATAAAGAATATTCTTTCAGGAGAAAAAGATAGAAGACAAAAGCCAAATAGAAATTTACTAAGCTCTTACAATTATAAGAATTTTAATGCAATTTCATTAAAAAAGTTAACAATAAATTGTTGTACTCGAGTTATCTTTTATATCTAAATGAGGTTGAACCATCTGATGTATATCCGGCATCTAATCTGACAGAAAAAGCTTCATGATCATATTATATAGGTAGTCTCTGGTAGGAAATTGAATTATGATATGAACCTTGTAATACTCACAACACAAAAGCGACCATTGTGCTAAAAAAGCCCAAGGCCATATAAAAACCACGTCAAAATCCCATATTTCTGATGTAGGATTTAAGTCGTAGACCTTGCAATTGGGTTGTAATGTTCCACTATGCTCTTTAGCCCGAGCAAGACACCTTACAATAGTTTGCAATTGAGAGACATGGTAGAAAACTTCAATATCAATGTACAAATCTTAGAGAACCGTTCTACTAAAGCTACCTATTATGGTCAGGAGTCCAAGGTCATATACTTTTGATGTGGGGCTCGTGTCCCATACATTATAATTGAATTGTAGACATTAACAGGAGTGCACCATGGAAATTAAGCATATGTTCATCATACTTAATCAGACAGTGTTTTAACAGCAAAAAGAACTAGAAGAAATGCAGAAAAGAATGAAAAAACATGAGGGGATATATGTTATTGCATTCCTACCGATCTATAAGAGCTTACTTGGTTTAACAGCTCCAAGGTTTAGAAAACAACCAGCACCACTTTTAAGATATGAAGGAAGTTGATCAAGAGGTATGCCTTTCAAGTGAGACAGTATAGGAAGAGAGAGAAGTACGAAAAGAGCCTGCAATAAAATCAATAGCCAACCATAAACACACCTCTCAATAATTATTTAAGCAACAAACATCAAATGGACATTGTCTGAAATAGACTTGAAATGCCAATAACAAAGTATTCCGGACATAAGTGTCATGCTACTGCTAGAAAAATTGACTCGTCAACGAAAATGTAGCACCTATCCCCCCTGCCCTACATAGGTGCTCGATCTCCAATGAAACTAAAATGAGGAAAGAAAAATACTGTTTACAAAAACTTTTACAGAAGAACAATACACTGCCAACTAAATAATGCTGTCAGGATCAAATCTCTCTTTTGACCAAAGTTTGAAATGTTCATAAACAAATCCAATTCAATATTGGCAAGCTTCAAAATTTGAAATAAAAAACTGAAAACTGTAAGGTAAAAAGATTAAAAAATGACTTTTTTTATTGGACAGACTGGTTTTTGGCTCCAATTTTGAAAACCTATCTAATCCAAGCCCATTTTAATAAATATCTAGTCCTTTGCTATTGTTAGAACTTAGAAGAGACAAATAAAAGTTACCATTTTCCATTTGTTAGGGAACAAACAGACGCAACACATTCTGAAATGACCTAAAAAGATAGAAAACAACCATATACTTTGAACTCTCACAAGTTACTTCAAGAAAGTTCTTCAATTACAAGATGAAGCAATTACAAATAAATCAACAATACAAGAAAGAGAAACTAAAAAATTACTTTGGTTTTATTAAATCCATTAACAGATTTTAAAAGGTACACTTAGTTCATGGTAATTAGTGTTGCAAGCCGTACCTGAAACCCAGATCCAAAAGAATTGACCACAAATATGTCCAGTGACTTGTGCTGCACGTGAACACATTAAGGACATCAAATCATGTCCATGAATGAAATGACAATGAAAAACATAGTCCAGTTTCCTTACATCCCCCATTCCCCCCAAAACAAAAAACGTAAAGGAAAGCATACCTTCAATCGAGTGGCAGAATCGATGAAAATATACTCCTGCCATACAAGAAAATGCAAAATTATAATGTTACTTAACAAGGTTTAACTAAAATCACCATCTAGTTATTGACTGACCTTGATTACAGAAGCCCAAGCCTGAAAGGCACAAGAAACTATCATCAATGCAGGCCAAAAAACCTGAACATCAGAGAGCATCTGACCTGCATTTGAGCCACTGCAATGATGAAAAATAAATAATCAGATGGGGCAAACTTCATTTGAAGTGAACAGGAATCAATTATCAATCTAGAATCTAGGCTCTGTATGATATTTGGACTACAATGACCACAACAAAAAGGCATTAAAAATATTACAGCAATCAGATTTCTAGAGCCTGTTATAAGCATTAAACAGCTAGTGACCAGGGTTGTTATAACATTTTAATGATACCTAATATTATACTGCAACAAAAATTACTTGACAATTACACAAAATAAAAACTCAGCAAAAATATTTCCAATTTAAGAATAATAAACCATTCGATTGGTTTATCAATTCAGTAGAGAGGTTACTCATCAACTATTCTTTGAACAAAATTGACCAATTGAGTGGTTATAAACTGGAATATTTTACCAAGAACTTTTTTATGGCAATTTTCCCAAAATTATGTCTCCTCAGACAGAGAAGAAGGGAACAAAATTATAATATTTTACACCAAAGGAGAAAACATCCAGATTCCAGACTAAAAAAGTTTCTGTCCATAACAATTACAAGCTGATGACAAGTAACTAATCTACTTTTGAAATTAAACTCCCATTTTAGCTCCATGAAAGCATGAGACATCAGTCGGACATCAATTTAATCCTAATAGATGATGAATGACATGGTCTCTTGTTATTGGACAAATAATAATACATAAAACAAATGAAAAGTAGGAAAAGAATAGAAATCAAATTGGGTCCTTTCATCAAACCATTTTTGTTAAATTTTTTCCTACATTTTATCAATTTCCTAAGTGTGATATTTTCAAGTCAATATCATTTGTCAAATCTCATTCATTACACATGGTGACCTAGTTAGTGAACTCAACATGAGAAACTGAATATGGAGAGTACTAAAGGGGATTACTGTATTTCTCCATATTATAGTTCAATTACCTAGAAATAGCCACCACGACACCAGCAGCTACAAGTAAGCACCCAATAAATTGATTGATTGAGTACCTTCTTCTCAAGAGAAGAGTGGAAAACATTAGCTGCCAAACCAAAAAAGTCTGCAACAAAAGAATTCATAGATAGTGTTTTGAGAATTTAATGTTACACTTACACATAACGATGCATTAAATTAACTAGCATGCAGATCAACAAAAAAAATACTACTATTACTATGCATATAACAATCCATAGTCAGTATCATCCCATTAAAATATATCAGGATTCAATTGATCTGGATCTGCATACACGGAATTTTTCCATTAAGTATATTAGTATCTTAAATTTCAAAACCAGTGAATTTTCCCTATCAATTGGTCTTATTGGCACCATTTCGAGATGCTTCACTAGTACTGCTAATGACAACAAAGGTTGTGTAAAATGTAAAATAGTAAAAAAAAAAAAATGCAAATGTTTGCATATCTGAGAATACTAATAAAATCAGTAGAAATTAAGTTTCTACAAAGGTATGAGTCATGAATAACCATTAGGGATGAATGAGAAAATGTTCAAAGGACACATGCCAAAAATATTACCCAGACAGCAGAATAATAATTTGTCATTCTTCCCAATCACTACTATATCATAAATAGAGAAAACAAGAGGCATATGCTGAAATCTGTTATCCGTGTGCCAAAATTACACAGCAGAGCTGAATTAAATAGACCAAAAATAATAAATACAGAGATTACAGTTATTCTACTTACCATTATTAAATGATTTTGTTATCCTATATAATGAATCTAGTCTAGACACTATTTACATCAATAAACATTAGTGCTACATATTTTATAGCAATAGTTCGTCATTTTCTTCCTTCCCAGTTGAAACAAAAGGATACGCTAACTGGGGAAATGCAGCTACGCCATCAGAAGAAACTGAATATGTTTTAAAATAACAAGCCTCCTATGCTTTAGGAGTGACTACTACATGCTACTATAAATATATCAACGAAATAGCTTAGATATGATGGCATCATAGTGTGAAACAGAACAGACTGAATCTGTGAACAAGCATGGACTACATTGTCCTTGTAAAAACAAGTTGGATGGCACTAGTTGTGTCAGTATTTTTTAAAGTAAAAAAGGAGAATAGAACAACTTTGGTTAGTAGTCAAATGCAAAAGCAGTTTAGTTCTTATGATGCTACAAGTTGATAAACATCATTTATTGTCATTGCAAACAAATTAGCAAGTATATACTATTGATCAATGCTATAATGTCTCTAATTCTGAATATATAACAAAATCCTTCATGTTTCTCAGTGAGCACTGACTGAACCCAATAATAAGTTCTCTCAAGCACTGCTGTATAGCATGCCATCCATATCATGTAAAATGAAAGAAGTTTTTCCTAAATAATACCTTGCCAAATATATGGTAACTGAGAATCTTAAAATAGAGTAAACGTCACAGATGTATAAAATAAAGGGCAGATGCATATTGTTTAAAATATTTAAACAATATTTAAATATTTAAGATATTTAAGATACCTGGTTCAATATGGGTATGACTGGTCCAGGAAGTATGGCTGCAGAAGGTAACCAACATTCAGTTTAGAAACACGAAAAGCAAGCGTTTGAGTACGCTTGTTTGTATAGGTGGAAAATTGAGAGCAGAGTGAAAAGATTTCAATGCATTCATTGTCGCTCACTAGAAGATGGGAACTCACTTTCAAGATACAAATAGCACAAATTGCAACCTTTGCTTTTATTCTTTCTTCTAGAAACAAGTTCAAACTTCACATTGTTTTTTATTTCACAGTTGTCTAATTGCTGGTTGTTTCAAATCCCATAGAAAAGCACTTAGTAGCGTGCAATGGGTCTATATAATTCCCTATTAACATTCAATAACAGCAAAGCTGACGTAGCTTTACAGCACTTAACACTAAAAAGCCTAATATACTTATTAACTATTTATTTATTTAAACTCCTCTAATTAAACATTTAATACACACTAATAAATGCTTTGAATTGCTTAAAAAAACAAAAAGCAAGTATTGAAATCTTTTTTTTTGGCTTTAAAAAATAAAACAAATGAAAATTCAAATCACAAAAAATACCTCCAGCAGACATTCCAGTTACCAATCCCAAAGCTTCTAGAAACCCAATGGCCACAAAGCGCAATTTCGGAATTGCAAGCATCTCATCGGTTACAATTCTCGCCCGATATCGGATATATAAGATGGAGAAATATATAACAACATAGCTACGTTACACAAAAACAGTAATTATTTCACAGCATAACTAATTGCACTATAATCCTATAAATAAATAACTATTGAGAGTGAAAACCATTAATAAATGCAATTAAGAAACCGATCAAAGAGGTTTACCCAAAAGTAATGAACTGGGCGAGAAAAAAGGGGTAATTTTTCATGGCAACAAGGGCTAATTTGTAAAGCACACGATTAGCTACCGCTGTTGTGACGGTAATCGCGGAACTCAATAAGATCAAGTTGGTGCCACTTCCCGATGAAGATGAAGAAGTTGAGTTTGACGATGAAGCTCGAAATTTGAAAACGTTAGGGTTGTGTTGGACATGGTTGCGGTGGAGTCTGGCATTGCCAGAAAAATGTAACGGTAGCTTCGAAGAGAGTGACATTGAGAGAAGAGGTTGAAACTTTGTATGGTGGAAACGGCAAGGAAACATATGCAAATGCAGTGACGATGTTGAACACAATGCCATTGCTCACAGCACTCCTCTTACTTTCAACTTGCAAGAGGAATTCAATTGGTCCTCTCTCCTGTACACCAAATAAAAATTAATTTAAATTACCATTTGACTTTAATTTTTATAAATTATGGTATAATAAATGTATAGACTAAAATATATGATTGATACGATTTTTTTAAAAATTTCTGTTACATTCTTTTAATAATTCTCTTTGTATAATTTTTAAGAAATAAGTTTATTTTTATATTTTTAATAAAATATTTTTAACTATTGTCCGGACATGTTTAATTAGAGGATTTTAACTATCTTTTATTAAACAAAAATGACTTTTGTATTGCACAATTTTTAAGTTTGATTGACTGTTAATCATTTATTAATGTTTTTTTGTATTCACACCAACTGCGATCTTGATTGATTAGTTTTGAATTGGTAAAATTTTTGTATAAAAATCTTTTGCGTTACTCTTAGATAAGAATTGGTTCCTTACAAAGCATCAGAGGCTCTTAGGTGAGAGGGTATAGTAGGTATAATTGTTTAACTAAATAACTGTTGTTTAATAAAAAATTATGAAATGTAGTACTAAAATTAAAAATAATTTGTGAGACTCATTTAATATAATTTTTAAGAGTTAATTAAAATTAAAAGAAATTAAAAAAAATAGAAAGAAGTAATATATTATTGTATAATTTACAACAAAATTTAAGAAAAAAGTTTTGTTGTTGAAGATATTCTTAATACATGTTAAAATGATTTTTACAAAATATTTATAATTTATTGATTCCTTAAAATAAATATTAGAGAGCATATTAGTGTTTTTTTATACTGTACAAATATTATTAAGTTGTTTCATGCAAAGAAGAAAAGCATGTAGGATCTTTGTGGATTGTTTCACTCATAACAGTAACAGAACAGCTGAGTAATAAATATCACCTCCAAACTTATTTACATTCTGAAAAATCAAGACTAGAGTTGCAGGTAATGAATTGTCATGGGAGTGTTGAGATCTGGTAGAGTTTGCAGGGGCATATGTTGCAGAACCAAGTGCCTTAAGGGACACTTTTATCAGCCTTTTCTGAGAGTAAAGCGGATTAGTACTATGTAAGCATCACATTGTCATTTTCTCCAACCAAGCCAATGACCTTATGAATCTCTATCTGTAATCTCTGAGCCAAAAGCTCAATACCCCCTAACTCTTTAAACAAAGATACAGCCGAGCTACAATAATCCATAAGCTTCTGGAGGGTTTTCACTGCTAAAAAAAACAATATGAATATGTGCAAGATCAGAATCCTCCAGCAGAGGCAAGAATGTGGGTACCAATAATCTCTAATATTTCTCCCAGAAGATGAGGTCACATGCAGCATATAGAATTGAAGTGCCTCAATGAAAGCAAGGGAAGATGGATCATTAGAACTCTTCAATGACAAAATAGCTCCCTGGAGCACATTCAGGAGTATCATGCAGTTACCTCCAGTGAAATTCATACTAGATCCACTTAGCACCGTGCCTGTTCATGAGATGATGTATATGCTGTTAACTGAGCTCCTAATGCAAGCATTATAAGTGTTCTGATAGATCCAGATATGGTTTCTTCTGATCGCACAACTTTAACCAATTCATTTGTATATTCTGGTTCATTAGCGAAAAAGGACACAAGCTCGTCATGAGCATCACTGCACTGGACCAACACAACGAAAGCAAGAAGGCAAATCCTGCTATAAATCCTGCTTATTCTTGCAGACCGAAAGACACGAGTGTATCTAATTCTTGTGAGCAAAGAAAATCGGAGCTCAGTGGGAACATTATACTGCTTAATGCATCTCTTCAACATTGTCTAGTCGTCTTCTTTGCACAGATGCATATCAGGTATGTGAATAACTCTCAAGCTAGAGGAAACTGTATCTACACTTCGTTCCTTGCTTTGGGCAATGGGTCCATGCGGTTCAAAATAGAGTAGAACCCATACGGTAATTGGATTGGTCACTACCATCATCTACATCTGAAGGAAACAAACACAGTGCTTCATCCTGGGCTTTCTCATTTGCCACAATACAAGAGTACAATCCCAGGCTCTCCTCCTTGCTCCCCCACCCGTGTGCTAGCGACAGGAGACAGCTATTCACTGAACCACAGCCAACCATTTTTGCACTTCCATGAAGCTTAGAGGAGTTTATTTTTACAAGTGCAGCAAGAGTTTCTAATGTCGCAATAATAATCTCAGGATCTGTTGATGCTAGTAAAAGGTTGAAGTACTGAATGGGAAGGGACATATTAAAAAATAATAGTATCAAATGACAAAAGAATAATCACTTAACTGAGTCTTCAAAGGATGGAATGAAGCAAAAGAAAATGAAATAGAGTAGACTATACTTAAATAAGAAATGATTTCTCTTCAATTACCTCTAAGCCATCAAATGAACTTCTGTTTGGACAGTTCTCTAAAATTATTTGCATCAGTATTTGAAGAATTGCATGTTTTGGTAATGGCGTGTCAACTTCAAGAGTATCTAACAATGTCAGGTTTTCGACACAATACAAATGTCTTTATGTATCAAAATGAAGTAACAATGGTCTCCAGTGATGAAAATTCCCCTGTTGTAAACACAATACAAAGTCTATGTGGAGAAAAGACAATACTGCAAGCAGCAACTTATCGTGCTATTACCTTATTATACTCCCACCGAAAACCAGAGAGGGGTATTGGTATATCTTGTAATGGACATTGAATGACCTTCTCAATAAAGGCTTTGATCTTAGGAGGCTGAAATCAATCCATCATAAAATTCAGACAAAATAGAATTTCCAAATTTTGAAGGTATGGTATGTGAATAGAAGAAAACTTGAGCCGTTAGGTATCTTATTGAACAAAAATGGTGATATTGTTCTTCCATTGATAAGAATTTTGATTTTTGAGAAGTATCGTGGTCATCCAATAATAAGGATTTTCTTTTTTTCAAATAAAAGATCTAACAACTGATTATAGAGTGGATTATTCGGATCTTTCAACTCATAAATGTGGATTTCGGACTTATGAATGGGGATACTCTCGAAACTCACAAAGAGAAAAGGAAGTGAGTGGCAAGTCTTAGAACATCCATGAATCATCAGGACTTTGTGAAGGTGTACGACTATGAATAGAAGTGAACATGCAACCACAGACACGAGTGTCTATACTAATGGATCTAAAAATAGAAATAGCGAAACGCAGTTGAAACAAATTTCAATACTTATTTGAAAGTTACAAATCATTCATGCTAATTTTTGAAATGAAAAAACAGTATTGGTCAATTTGGCAAAATGAATAAATAATACTAGTACTATTAAAAGTTTTAGAATAAGAAAATTTCAACACTGAATATTTATGATGTATATTTATGCTTTAATAAAAAGATTTATTGTTAAAAGTTGTGTATATTTATGTATTAATAAAAGATTTATTTACTAAATTTTATGATGTAACTTTAAATATATATTTTTCAATTATTATCTTTATAATTGATTAAAAATTATAATATTTTTACTAAATCCAAAATAATTGGAGATGAATTACTCTTCAATAAAGGACTTGTAAATTGTTTTCTCGTTAAGCATCTTGATGATACGTTTATAGAACACCTGACCATAATTCACTATATTATAAATTTAAAGGAGTATGTCTAATGAAAATACATTAAAAGACAATTAAAATTTTGTTAAAGTTTAACAATAAAACTTTGGATAGAACATACTAATTTCTCAATCATCTATGGTATAAAACTTACATTTTCTAATAGAAAAAAATACATTTTCTTTTTAAGTTTGAAGAGAAAAGTCAAAGATAAATCTCATTAATATATTTTTTCCTGCATTTAAATTTCATAGTTTTTCTTCATCACTTATTTCTCATTATTCTATCTTGTATGACCGTTAATAATTAATAAAATATTATAATGAATTCACATAGAATGATATTAAAATAATGTTAACCGAATATTTAAATCCTACTTATTATTTATTATACACATTTTCACTATTCATATTTTTAATCTTACGGCATCAATTAAATTCTAATAATAAAATAAACAAGTTATTAATAATATTTTTAAATTTGTACAATATTATATATGATAAAAATTATATATAATAAATTTTTATTAAAATTATAATAATGGATAATATCAATGCATTAAATATTTATGAAATTCATAATAAATAATTTAAACGTTAATTTAAATCCACAAAATGATTCCATTGCCAGTGAAAATCCTATTCACAACTACCCCCTCCTTTATAAATCAAAGAAATAGAGATTAGATGTAGGAATTTAGAAAAACAAAAGGAATAGCTGATTTTGATTTTGATTTTGATTTGGGACGGAATCGTAACTTGCAATTTGCGATTCAATCCGTTCACGAACCCGATCAACGAATTGATTTCCCCATTTCGAGGGTTTCCATCTTCTCTACTTCAATTTCAATGTCCAACAATTCGCACAGAGGAGGTTCTTTCTACGGCGATGCTGCCCCGTATCGTTCCAGGTTTCTTTCTCTCTATTCGATTCCTTACTGTTGTCGTTTTGAATACAAAGAGTTTTCCATCAATTGAAATTGGGGAAATTGATTGGTTTGCAGAGAGGGGCTTAGCACCAGACCCGTTGCTGCCTCCGATGAAATTCAATTGCGTATCGATCCCGTCAATGACTTGGACGACGAAATCTCCGGTCTTCGTGGCCAAGTTAGAAAATTGAAAAATGTATGTTCTTTCAATTTCCCCCTTTTGCTGTTCTTTGTAACCTTTAGATCAAACTCTAAAATATTTGAAACTTAGAAAGAAGAATAATTATATTATATGAGGTTGCTCTATACTGGAGAGAGAAGCATTACGTTCATATTATTATTGTTCCCTCTGAAAAGAGAGAGAGAGAGAGAGAGAGAAATGAAAAGAAATGAATATGAGTAGATTAATTTTATGTATAGTTGTTAATGCACGAGTAATTTTTTTACATCCAACGATGTATTGTTCCTTATAGGATATTTGATACGATATTTGATGATTGATGCTTGTATGCTTGCTACTGTAGGTTATGATGGAACGTTATGATAAATTTCCAACTTGAAGTTAGAGTCTGAGCAACTTGATAATTTGTTGAATTATATACTGCTAAATATTATCTTTTATTTAGAACTAGTGTGACGAACCTAGGTCATGCTTCAGAACTCTTCGCTTTTCTCTCCTGTTTTCCTTTCTGCTTCCTAATGTTGTTGTACAATTTCATATGTTTCTGCTGCAGGTTGCTGAAGAGATAGGTACTGAAGTCAAGTATCAGAGAGATTTTCTGGAACAGCTGGTACGTAATTTCTCGGATGAGCTATATTTTGCTTGTTTCTACGAGTTCAACTTTTAGCTGGAGAAAGGAGAGTGCATTGTGCCTAGAGCTGCCTGATTTATGATACTGGAAAAATGGATTTACTTTTGAAATTTTAATTTCTTTAGATTTTGACAGCTGAAAAACTACTGTCTGAAGTAGAAAATGTTTCTCAATCAGAAATTAAGCCTCCATTTCTTATAATGTCAAAGACCATAAAACTTAAAATGGAAAACCATGCTGTTAATGCTGCTGGTATATCTTGAAACTTACTTAAAAATTATAATTGCGTGGTACAAAGAAACATCTAGTTCTTTATTTGACTATTTCTGACGTTTAGTAGATTTCCCAATAGGATTTGAAGCCACGTGAATTTTTAACCATCTGTCAGTTGATCCTTGTTACTATGGGTTGAATTGCATTAAGATAATTGATGGATGGAAGAAGGAAATTATAAGTAATGCTCTATGGTTTTTCATTTGAAGACAAATTAAATTGATGAAAACTTCATCCAATATTTTATAGTATTCATTATTAGTGAGTTTTACTTTTACTGCCTCTAAAAAGGAGTAGAGAGGAAAATTCTTTTGATTGGTTTCTGTTGAATGCTTTTGTAGTAATTGATATGGCACTGATACTTGTCTCCTTTTTAGCAAGAAATTAACCAACTGTCTTATTCATATTTTGGTTATGTGTGTTTCAATACAGCAAATGACAATGATAAAAGCTCAAGCTGGGGTGAAGAATAATTTAAGAAGATTGAACAAGAGCATCATCCAAAGTGGTTCGAATCATATTGTTCATGTAGTTGTTTTTGCATTAGTCTGTTTCTTTGTAGTGTATATCTGGTCAAAGATGTCCAGAAAATGAGCGCTTGTAGCTGACAGACTTTGCTTAAGGCCTTCTTCAGATTACTCGCTATGATGCCTAATTTTGTTGTATAGAAAAGCTCAACTATCCCTTGCAGTTTATAGTTAAAAAATCTTCAGACTTCCGAGTATTTCTTGGTCGAAGCAGTAGTTTTGTGTGATAAAAGGAATGATTTGCTTGTATAATAGATTTGAACTCCTTTTTTCTCTTTAAAAATATAATGTGAAATGTATTAGCAAATAGCAACCTTAATATTTACTCACTTAATGGCACGGTATTAGATAAGAATCTGTTTAGTTTAGAAGCTCAAAGTGAAGTTAGATGGTTTGTTGTCGTGAACTGTGTATGCAAAAAGGAAATTAAGAATCGCTGAGACAGGAATCAATACTCACAGGTCAAATTTTAACACGAGATTATTTTTATATAGTGTCTAATCTTCTTCTTGAGATAGGAGATAATGAATAAGCATAACCTTTTTAATATTTTACTAAAAGGGATATAGTTGTAATATTTGAACATGATTTTTCATATGTGCGACAGCTATATTCTTATTCTCATTTTCATCGTTTTCATGAATTTTAATTGGCGGAAATTATGGGGTAAGGCTATAATCACGGCAAAGGAAAAATTAACACCACCGATGCTACAGACTGTTCAATGACTGACGGTAGATCACCAGTCTATACGAACTTTATTGCATTACTTGCCTCTTTAGCAGGTGGATAAGAAAAATTATCTTCGTTTCGTGTATATATATATATATATATATATATATATATATATATATTGTGCTTCTAGAAATTAACATTCTATCAATATCATTGCAGGCCCTTTTTTATCAGGGGAATGGGAGTTGCCATTTCAACAAACAGGACGACAAATCCTTACGATGGGACTCACAAACAAGCGATGCATGTCCACGATTTTTCGTTCTTCCTTTTTATCAACGTTGGTGGCATCGACTAGTCTAGCCAAATTTTATTGTTGCATCTACTTAAATGGACAAAGTATTCTTTTCTTTTCTTCATCATCATCATAATATATACGATTTTGTTTGAGAATTTCGAAACAAAGTTGAAAAGGATTTTAGTAACAAAGAGGGCCCATGTTTGGATATTAATTTTCTACAAAAATTTGATAAATTAGAAAATTTTAAAAATTAAACTTAAATATATTTTAACTACTTCTAAATAGAATTATTTTAAATTACTACTTATTAATTTTTTTTTATTTTAATATCTAACTATTATTTTTTAATTTTGTGTTTAACATTAACTTCCTTGAGTTATTAACTTCCTTGAGTTGGTGATGTAGCAAAACTGTGAATCATATATCACTGTTTAATTAACAGATATTAACGTCAAATATAAAATTAAAAAAATTAGTTAAACATTAAAATGAAAAGAAAAAAATTAATAGATAGTAATTTAAAATAAATTTTATTTAAAGATAATTAAAATATATTTAAGTCTAAAAATTATGTGTTAAAGGTTTTAAAATTTTCTTATTCCTTTCACTCTTTTACCATATCCTCTCTAGATATTAACATTTAGAAAAAACAAAAACTTCACGCGGAGAAAACTTAAAAATTATATATCATTTGAAGTTTTAAGGTTCAAATTGACTAAATGAGAAAATATGAACTTCCAGTCACATCACACTACCACTATTAACATGTCAAATCAACATATTCATTATATTAACAAGTTTATTAAAATTAATCATTCATACATTTGTCATAATTAAATGATAACATAATTAAATCTGCTTTAACATTCACATTAATAGCCGCATAAAACTCCTCACAACCTATGTACTAATTGCCCTTGTTAACTATTAACAAGATACTTGGAACTTATAAAAATGACTATCATCTTGTAAATTAAAAAAAATCATATTATTTTTTATACAAAAGACGTTTAGGAAAGAATCTATAAAGAACTTATCTCCTATATAAAATCCGTTCAGCTTATATTTCAAAAAACTTTTCAATATGATTTATTAAATTAATTTCTTCATAGTTTATTTTAAAAATAAGTTATGATCAAATTTATAAAAAATGTCCTCATGTAAAAATGGTTATTACATACACACTTAATTGAAAAAAATTGCATTTCCAAACAAATCCATAGATTGTTAAAATAAGTTTTTTTTAAACTTGTTTCAGTAAATTCTATAATCAAATTTATAGTATAAGTTCTCATGTAATTATTCAATAAATACTCAATTAAGTTGTATACCAAACATATGGTTCCCTCTTCGATGGGCCAAGACCTTCCAAAGAACATGCTGGTTGTTCATCATGACAAATCATAACATGTTCAATTTGTATAAAGCAAGCTGAAGCAAAAATAAGAACGTCAGCAGTGATACCTTAACATTCTATTTACAAATGCTGTACAATTATTTCAGTTTCCTCAGTTAATCATATTATTAGGTTATTAAGCAAAGGAACAAAAAAATATAGCAATTAGATCTCACACTAACAAGGTACTTCGAGAAAAAGTGGCACCCAGGCCAACCTAAAATGTGATGTCAGCATGTAAAATCCACTTTTGCCCACCGTGTCATGTGCTGGGGAAAGTAAATTCTACAATCCCAGCTAGGACAGTTAAGATAGTGGTATAGGTGGTGTCAGCCTGTAAGTAGGTCAAAATGCTTTACAGAGGTTGTTAGCCTTCATGTTAGATGAACCTTGCTGAACTATAGGACCTGCGGGACCACACAACCTGCTCCTCTTTGGTTCGGATATCCTCACATGTGAAATTGCAGTGGCAAGTGCATCAATCAACACACAATCATCTTGATCATCTGAATTGCAACTTTCAGAGGATGAAACCTCGCTAAGTGAGCAATTACCTATCATGTTTCCTCCCAACCTTTGTTCAGGTGCAGCAACAAGTTGTTGGCATGCTGCACCAATTTGGTTCTTCAATTTTGTTTTGATGGGCAACATGGTCAATGAATGCGCTGTGTAGAACAATATCCATGGATGCCCTGAAATTGAACCACTGAATGTTAATATAACATGCAAAGCAAACATCTTAAAAATATCGAGCAGTCATTGAAAGCATTCTCACTTTTTCTTTAAGGCTTTGTTTGCGAGTTTAGAGGCAGAGAAAAGTGAAAGGTTTAGGGGGTATGGGAGGTGAAGGGAGGGGAAGGGAGAGAGAAGGAGGGTTAACAAAAAAAAATCCAATTTAGAGAAACATAAAAACATGAATTTATGGGAGTTTTGGAGGATTTATAAAAACTTATCCCAAATAAGGGTTACTATAGAATAAACCTTCCCCTTTCCTCCCTTCTCCTAAAATTAACTCCCAAACAAAGCCTTAGAAAATATTATTAGGTACACTTGAAAGAGCATCATTAGTGTATAAGACGAACATGTAATAAAACAACTTATGTGAGGACTAATAGATTCACTGTCACACCAAAAAATAAAAAATAAAATACACAAACAGTGCAGAAGGGCATAATCATTTAACAACATCTAGTCAAAGATTGATAAGCAAATTTTATTGAAATCTAGCAAATCTTCTATTTACCTAAAATCCTTATAATCCTCATTATAGCAAAGTTCAATTTTTAAAAAACTTGGATATATTCTCTGTTTTGATTATTTCAATGAAATAACCTTAAGAGAGAGAGATACAATCATACAACAATTGGGGGTGCATTCATCATCGAGGGAGGAAAAAAGGTAAAACAGGCAACCCAACAATTCATTCATAATATATCATGAACTTACTAAGTGCTTCGTCAGCTGATATCCTTGCTGAAATATCCCTTGTCAACATTCTCCCAATAAGGTCTCGTGCAGGTTTAGATATTGATTCCCACATCCCAGTTTGGAAATTTAATTTGACAGTCTTAATAGCCTCAAAAACAGCTTCTAATGAATCTCCTTGAAATGGAAGACTGCCAACCAACAGCGCATGAAGGAGCACTCCAGCACTCCATATATCAACCTTCTCAGAGTATCTGCCTAACAATACTTCTGGGGCAACATAGGCAGGGCTTCCAGCCAAACCAGTCAAGTTCTGACCTGAGATACAAATTTATAGTCAATAAGACAATGCTTTAACAAATAAGTATAACTGAATGATGATGTATGGAAGCCAACCAAAAAAATGTTAACTGCAAAATGTTATAAGTGTGTACCATAAAATGCAATCACTTTCAAAATTCATGCATGTTTTATTATGTTGAAAGTTCACTATGATGAATTCCTTCATCTTTCTTTAAAAAATGCCATAGGAAACCACAGCTAAACACACTAAAACAAAAAAAAAATGTAGAACTACTAGAATATCTGCCTAAGCCCTACATATTTTTTTTTTCTCACTGATTGATACTGAACTGGACAATTTTTTACGAAAGGCAAATCGGACAAGGATTCAATCAAATTTAAATGCATACTACGGGAAAAAAATCTTCCAGACAGGTTTCACAAGATACCTTCTGAAATTCTCATAGCCAAGCCAAAATCTGCAAGCTTTATTTTTCCAGAAGCAGTAAGCAGAATATTTTCGGGTTTGATATCTCTGTGCACAACTCCCATGTCATGACAATACTTGATGACTAACATCACTTCTTTGAGTATATTAGCAGCCCGCTGTTCTGAATATGGACCATCCTTAAACATTCGATCAATGAGTCGTCCCCCAGAGCACAACTCCATCACAAGATGAAAGCATTCAGCTTCTTCATAAACTGCTTGCAGAGTCACAACCCCAGAATGTCCAGACAAGTGTTGCATTATCTCAACCTCTCGATGAACCGTCTCTTCCCCCTTCCTCAGAGTCTTACATGCATATTCTGCTCCACTAACCCTGGACCGACACAACCAAACAGATCCAAACTTGCCTTGCCCAATCGTTTCACCAGATACATAATCATCCTCAATCTTTTTCTTCCTGCCCATCTGGGTAGCGACATCAATGCAACCTATCTTTCTCTTGAGACCTCTTCCCGGCGTGATCAAAGATGACGTCCCACAAGGCGGAGCAGTAGCAATTCCAGCAAGCCTACTTTTATAGGAAGCAGCTGGCTCAGTGTCAGCATCTTCTTTACACCTCTTCTTCAACCGAGAACAATCTTCCAGAGAGTAATGGGATTTCAAATTGGACGAAGCAGAGCCATGATTCGAAGGCAAAATAACAGGCAAATCCGCGGATGCATCAGCCTCAGTTCCTTTCCTTTTTTTCCTCATAACATCGGTCAATAAACTATCACCACTCACAAATTCCTTAAGATCACAACCCCATCGCACAAGAGTCCGCAAAACCACCAAGCTAATCCTAATTTGCAGCAAAACACACTTTGGCTTCGCTTCTACAATCAAGACATAGAAGATCAATCATCGAAAATCCGTCTAATATATATCCACACCCAATTTAAAAAAGAAAACCGTTCAGCGCAAAAAACAGCGCCAAACAGCGACATTACACAGTACGCAAATGGGGAAACGGAAAGGGGAAAATCTCCGTTCCGCCGCCACCAGAATCACGAAGAGAAGAATCGAAAACTCTTAGGTTTCGGTTGAGAACTAACATTTCCTCAACGATAAGGAGTGGTAACCGTGCAACTAATTTATAAACAAGAATAATTGGATAGAAAAATATTAGCACGAAAAGAACGAACCTTTTAGGCTTGGAGTGAACGAACCTCTCGAATGGGGAAGAAAAGAGAATGGGAAAGGAAAAGAAACGAGATAGAGTTGCTGAAAATAAGAAGGGGGAAGAGAATGGGAAATCCCAAAGAATCGCGGAGAAGATTGGGGGAACAGAAACCCTAAAAATCTCGGATCGAAGATTTGGGGGAAATCCCCGAAATAAGAGTTATCTTTGATGTTTGGTGAAGAAAGGAAGACTCTGTGTGTGAGTGTGTGTTGGGTGGTTTTTTTCTCTCTACGACGCAACTTGCGTGTTCTGTTTGTATTGGATCGTGTTTATTGCTTGTGGTTGCGGAGAAATCTTACGCTGTGGGCGCGACCATGGTAGGCGATCGAACTTCTTCTCCCTAGATTTCTTTGGTATTTTGGTTGGCTCACGTGGCATTTGTGTGTTTTTATTGTTTATAAACCGACAAAAGAGGATTCATCCAGCACGGGGTTTCACGTGTATTAGGCATTGACTGAGTCACCTCCTGCTTATCATTTTCTGTTTTTTCACCACTCGATGGCCCATATAATATACATGGAATAATAATATTCTTCAACATACAAATAATATTCTTATTTTTTTTACATAAATAAAATAAAAAAATTAAAATTACGCATATACACTAAATTAAAAAATTTTACATAAATATTTTAATTTAAATTACATAAAAATTGATTAAAATTAATTTTAATATCAATACAAAAGTCAATTTAAATTATTTTTAACAGTATAATAAAAAAGTTAATTGTAATTTACTTCAAATATATAAAAAATTGATTATAATTGGCTTTAGTTAAAAAAAATTAATTTAAATTATTTTTTAGCAGTACAATAAAGAAGTTAATTATAATTAACTTTAATTATAAAAAAAATTTATAGTTTATTTTAATTTTAAAAAACTCATAATTGATATATATAAATAAAAATGTTGATTATAATTGACGCTAATTATATAACTGTCAATACGTGTAATTATTATTTGAACCGTTAATATTGTAAAAGGATTGAAGTTATATCATGACATTTTTATTGATAATATAGTTTTATTTTACCAACAAACATGTAATTAGATTCTTCTGATCTCAAATATTGCATAAACAAATATAAACTAGAGAGATGCTCATTTAATTTAGTTTTTCATTTTCACTCTTGTTTTAATACAAAGCCTCTTCCAGCTATAGGGTGTCATTGACCACCTTATTCAATGGTAATTACTTCCAGAGTACAAAAGACCAAATTGTTGTATCATCAACTTTTTTGAAGAGGTAACTACTGCATCCTTTCCCTTCCTTTTAAGTTCTACCGGGCTTTAGTCAAGGTACTATAATTATTTTGCAGTGAGCAAGAAAATAACACATATAGAAATCTAATTTCACTATTTTTAGGAAATTTTTCTTAGTCATTCTTGAAACCCCCACATCTAGATGAACCTATATCCACTCTATTTCTCTCTGAATCAACTATGGCTTTTGGGTGTATACTTATGAGTAAAAATGATGGGAACTACAAGGGGCCACTCATACTCTCTTTGAAGAAGGGCTATATATTCACAGTTTTTTTAAGTAAAGCTATTTATAACTAAACTTTTTCATTACACTGTTAAAAATAATTTAAATCGACCTATGTACTAATATTAAAGTTGATTTTAATTTACTTTCATATAATTTAAATTAGAACATTTATGTAAAAAAATTTATTTTAATGTATATACGTAATAGTGATTTTTTTATATTTTATTTATTTCAAAAAATCATATTATTCATGTATATAATAATTGTTATCAAATGTAATATTCTTATTTATACATATAATATACATTTAATATATATATATATATATATATATATATATTAACATGAATAGTGTTAAAAATAAAATGATTTCATTTATAAATAAAATATCAAACCATGAAAAGTTATATTCTTTTCTATATTTTTAATAGAAAAATAATTTATTAGTGTTTATATTTTAGCACAAAATACTTCATTATTTTTTTATTTTTTTTATTTTTCATCCAGTTTAATCTAGGTCGTGCACTTAAATATGGTGAGTGAAAAGATTTTTTACATATATAAGAACTTAAACTTAAAATTTTGCTTAATCGATATTAAGTTACTTGTCAATCGGACTAATTTTATTAGTTCCTCATTATTTTATATTACACGCAGATTTAATGATAATTTTTATTCTTCAATTATGATTAATGCATAATACTAGTCTTTGAATAAATTTTTGGTCAAAATTATTTATTTTTAATTATTAAATTTGATTATTTTTTCCGGTTTTCTTTCTTCCTAAAACACATTTATTTTTAGTTTTTATTATGATTAGGTGTTTAGTTTTGGAATTTTAGGGTCCTATGTTAGTCCTGTATTACCCCTTTTTTGAAACTTACAAGTTACAGAGAACTTTTGCAAATAATATTTTGTTTCTTTTCTAAAGTGAAAAAGGAAAAAATACATATCATTTTTTGTTTTTCAAAATCAAGATTTTTTCTTCTAAGAGCATATTTGTTTGTATTTTTAAAAAGATTTTGTTTAAATAAAAAAATATAGTTATAAAAAATATTTTCAGAAATTTGAGTCCTTGCGTTTTATCATTTTTTTTTCAAGAATAAAGAGCTGCATTTTTCGAAATCATAATCAGAGGGTCCTTTGCCTTCTACTTTTACTTGTTTCTTGACCAAACAATGCTTTTGGCACAAAATCGTTCATGAATATGATTCTTTTTATTAAATTAAATTATATATATATCTTGCGAGTATTTAATAATAGGTGGTTTGCTCATGTTAGAAAGAGAAAATCTTATGTATTATCGAAATTTTATTATAATTTGGTGATATATATATTTTATAATTATTTATAATAAAGTTAAAAAAAATATTGAATGTTTATAATTTCAAAACCAGTCGATTGTTTGAAGGAAAATAAAAGGCAAATGGTTCTTATACATCCATGATGTGTATACACTTTAGTTAGAAATAAAAAGAAACGAAAAGAAAATGATAAATAATGTAATGCGACAGAAAGAAAAAGTGAAAATATTATAATTGTGTAAAAAAAAAAGTCAGAACTCAAATAAAACATCGATCATGCGAGCACCCGACCCATTGACAATGTAGTCCAATATCCAACGACCACCAACGAAAATGAACAATGATGAACCAATTTGGTGTTGACCACATAGTTCCATTGCCCAAAATGGCTGAGCCAGATGCCCCATGATGAAGACATGGCGACCTGAAAGTCGTAACTTATAGGAGGCAAGACAGCTACTTTCCAGGTCCATTATTGAGCCAAAATCATTGATCCTGCTGAGTCATTTTTCTCTTCTCTTTAAAATATCTACTTGACTTAAATAATATTTTAATATCCAAAAATATTATTTTTTAATTTTTATGAAATTTTTATTCAATTTTAAGTTTTATATTTAAAAAAATATGTAATTTTAATTTATAGTTAACGTCTAAAATTATATATATTTGTGTTAAATATAAATTTCAAATTAATTATTTTTTTCTAAGAACTAAAATTAAAAAAATGATATTTTTAAAAATTAAAATATTATTTAAGCCTATCTACTTTCATTTACGATTATATCATTGATTTATTTGACCAATTGGGACTCGTTTGTGGTCTTCTTAAATCATCAACCAGAAGACGTCACAGCGTGTACTTGTATATGCATTCTTTATTGATAGGTCAATAATAAATAGCTAACACCCATAGAGCTGCTGGTGTTTGGTTATTAATTCACAAGTTAAGAAAAAGAAAAATGGAAGGAGAATCGCTCACGTTACTAGGGTTCTGGGCTAGTCCATTTGCCCTCAGGGTTAAGTGGGCTCTTGAACTGAAAGGGATTCAGTACCAATATGTGGAAGAAGATCTCATCAACAAGAGTGCCATGCTACTGCAGTATAACCCTGTCTACAAGAAAATACCGGTTCTTGTTCATGACGGCAAGCCCCTGGCAGAATCACTAGTGATTCTTGAATATATTGACGAGACCTGGAAGCAAAATCCTCTTCTTCCACATGAACCTTATGAAAGGGCCAAAGCACGATTCTGGTCCACTTTCGTTGATGAAAAGGTCCGTAATAAATTAGAACAACATGATTTTCCTAGCACATGCTTTTTATTTTTTTGTAGCACCCAACCTTTTCTTATCTTCAGTGTGTGCCAGCTTTTATGGCCACCTTTTCCAAAGGAGGGGAGGAACAACAGAAGGCAGCACCAGAAGCTCGAGAGAATCTAAAGACCCTTGAAGGTGGACTCGAAGGAAAACGCTACTTTGGAGGTGAAAAAATAGGCTTTGCTGATATTGCTATCGGCTGGCTTGGAATCTGGGTTCGAATAGTGGAGGAAATTGTGGGCATAAACCTAATTGATAAAGAGTCAAAGCTTAATGCTTGGTTCGACGATTTTCTTGACTATCCTGGTATCAAAGAATGTGTGCCGCCCCGTGATAAACTACTAAACCACAACAAGGCCTTCCACGAAGCCTTGACATCTTCCTCCACCTGAAAGCCTAGCCATCAATATCATGCAATATGCGTTGCTTAGCCCATGCTTGATCTTTCTTTATGATATATGAGTTGCGTATTGCAATAAATAATCATGGACCAGAGCTCATGGTCAACCTATCATGTTGTAGAAACGCGGAAAACTACTAGTGAAGTAATCTACCTTATATTACCATATTATGCGTTGCTGTCAATGTTTAAATCAAGGAAACACCTTGAATGATATTTAACTATATGGTGGAATTGATTGCTGAATGGAACAAATATCTGGGTTGATGATGGACCAAAAAGCTTTAAAAAATCTCAGCGTTGGACTTCTCAGTACCATTCGTGATCCTCTTGCTCAAGTCTAAATAAAACCTAAACACGCATCGACAAGATGCATGAATCGAATTTTTCCAAGAAAAAACATAACATGCTCAGCAGGAAACAAGTAGGAATTTGTCAATTAAAATGAAACCCATTAAATGCTACAAGAATAGAAGTTTCTGATCATTCTTCCAAAATTTTGAAGATGGAAGAGGTCAGCTAATCGTCAGAAAGGTGCAGTCCACGCAATACAGTGATAAACTTGGAAGACCAAAATTGTCGGTACTAATACAGTTGTTGCAATTTTCCCTTCAAAATGTTATCCAAAACATTGCCCAGCAATAGACATCTAAAGACACCCTGGTGTTCTCCCAAATAAGCTGGCTGCTCTCATGGCTAGGGTTGTTTATCTTTCCAGTTCTCTATTACCTTGGAGTAAATTTCCTTTGGCTATGTATCTCAATTTGAACATTAAACGCTGAACTGCAAAACATAAACACAAACGTGTGAACATAAACAGAGAATATTCATGTATATAGAAATAAAAGAGAAGGGATTAATTTTAGAGGAGGCAGAAAACTCAAGAAACTAAATCTTATAAATAGAATAGTACAAACAGATATCAACATCACCACAGCATAATTGGCTTTGTTACTTTATGCCACTGATTCAATATGAAAAGGTAAAATGAAAACAATAGGTGTTGCAAATCTTGGTTGATGGTCATACCACTATGCTATAGGCATGGGAATCTAATAGCCCTGAAGCTATAACTTGCATTCAAGGGTGCAAAAATTCCATCCCCTTTCAGCATGGTAGCTGAAGATTGTAGAAATCTAGCCCGTGGAGCCCAAAGATTAGGAAGCAGATGATTGCCTATTTGAAATAGCGGCCATCCAAATAAATAACCAGTTAAAAACACCCTAAAATAAGAAACCAATTTAAAAAATAAATGGGTCAGTATAACCAATTATTCTTAACGGTTTGGATTTTTTTTTAGTGATTTTGATTTGGATCTAGTTTGGATCACCATAACTGAAGTTTTTGGACACCCCTACTGACACACATAAGCAAGCACTCACAAAAACAAAGCTAATGAATGAGCTATATTATCCTAATTCCGTCATCTATAGCCATCACCAAAACCAAACTCAAGGAAAGAGAAATTGCATGTCAATCAACATTCATCTCTTTAAAAAAAATATTGATAATAAACAAATCAGTCATTTGCCCAAGTTGAAAGGGTTATGGTCTTCTGTTTCCAAAATGAGTGAGGTAAAGAAAAGTAAAAAAAGGTAAAAACAAAAGGTAATAGGGATGAGGATGAAGTTTCTCACCAACTGCAGCTTTTCCACCTTAAATTGCCAAGGAGCCCATCCTCTCTCTCAGATTCTGAAAACTACCAAAAGAATTGAAGTTATTTATTTATTTATTTTAATTTCTAGTTTCAAGCATTGAAAAGCTGAATGTGAAAACTTGCACATCAAAAGTATGATTGGAATGGAGGAACCTATTTATTTAGTTTTTAAAGTTAGTAACGAGTTATGAATAATGCATCATCAAAGACAAAAGAAGATTGTCTGTAATTTAACCAAAATTATATGTTAGGCCTGTTTGCGGTTTTTTAAAGTTTTTTCTTTTGAAAAAATATTTAAATAATAATAATAAATTAGATAATTTTTCTGGAAAAACAGAAACACTTATTCTTATTAAAAGAAGCTATTTAGTGTTCTTCTCAAATGCTCAAAAACAATAGCTTATAATAAAAGCAACATTATAAAAGCTCCTCTTTCCAAAGCTTAAACAAACGGGCCTTGAGCCATATTGAAATTTCTGATTTATAACAAACAATATTTCAATGAAAATTGAGGGAATTGAACGTCAACAAGATTAATAAAAGAGCTCGCTACTTCCTTCCTAACTGCAATTGAACTTACGAAAATATAAGAGTATAGATGTTGGGGAACTTTATGAAGTTACATTAAGTCCTCCTTCCAAGTTTTATGGGACAATGTTGTATGAAAAAAATTTTAACTTGTTTATTAAGGAGAAGGAATTACCCAAGTATGGAATTGACTTCAAGGTTACTGGCTTCACCTCCTAGCACTTCAACCTGAATGGAGCTTACAAAAATATGAGTACAGATGTTGAGGATCTTCATGGAGGTACATGAAATCCTCCTTCCATCTTACGACGTGCAACAACAAACTGATGGGGGGATGCACACCTTGCAACAAGCAACCAGAAAATCTTAATGGATTGATGTTACCTACCTAGTGAAGGCTTTGAGAATGGAAAGTGTCTCATTATCCATCACAACTTTATCTTCATCCATCATTTTAAGGATATGGAAAGGTGGTTTGTTTGCAGAGAGGTGCATTCTAAGCAATATTTTATACAACGATAAACTAAAAAGACCAAAATTATGGATGTCTGTAATATACTTATTAGCATATTCAAAGTTCCCATCTTTTTCCAAATACTCTGCAATGGCTAAAACAAGTCCATGTGGTGGCCTCCAATGACAATCTTTCATCATAGTCAAAGCTCTTCTCATGGCAATAATAGCCTCATCCATTTTTTGCCTATTGATGTATCCTTCTATGAGAATTTCCCACGTTTTGTAGTTTGGACAACCACCCTTCTGCAATGTGTGGAGATGTAATGATTCAGCTTTGTCCATTAATCCATTCCGCACATATGCACCCAAAAGAACATTAGAGACTCTGATATCATACTTCCGACAATTGGACTCCCATTCTAAGAAGATTCTCTTGGCTTGTACAATGTCCCCAAGTTTCACCAAGCATGTTAATATGCAAATGTAGTTGGCACAACTCATTCTTCTACCAACTGCCTTACTAGCTTCCCATAACCGCAAGACTCCTTCCTTTTGCTTCAAAGAAGTATATAGTGTTATTAGGAAGAAATAACCAAGATGGTTACTGGTAGATAGTTTATTTTCAGCAATTTTGAGAACCTGAACAGCTTTCTTAGATTGTCCCACTTTCTTATAAACATTGGCTAATGTAGCAAGACTGCTCCATCCAACTTCAACAGTCTTGTCGTTTTGCATTATTCTAAAAACTGCCTCTACTGCTGCAACCCCATATCCTACTTCCTCACCACAAGCATTCATCCAAAGGTTGTAGGATAGAACATTGCAGGGTACTTTATTATGCTTCATTTGCTGGATAACAAGGGGTACCTTCCTGTACTCACAGGTGGCTAGATATAGTTTCATCATCTCATTATAAGGGTGAGGGCTCACCACCAGCCCCAGTTCATAGAGCTTCACCATGAAAGTCTCAGCTTTACTAGTGTCCCTCTCTCTTATATAGCCACGTAGAAGGGTGAGACAGGCAACTTTCTTTGCAGCTGAGTCAGGTATATTCATAAAATAGTCTTCAGCTTCCATTAGACCATAATTTTTAATGATCAATTCCAATTTCATAGCATGATCAGATGGGATCACATAGAACTTCTTCTGGTTTTCCATCCATTTAAAGACCTGTGTCAAAGAATAATTAAGAGGTTTAAATTGCCAACCAAATTGAATAGGCTGTTTATAAAATGCATTACAATGACTTGCTCATCACAGATTGAAAAAACCCATAATCAGCAACCGTATGTTATGCATGCCTTAAGTGGTCAATCATGGAAAGTAGGGCAAAGTGGCTCACCTGAAAAACAGTAATGGGAGAGTGGATTGCATAGCTGCCACTACCAAAAATATATGATACAGTGCAAATAATTTATACTACATCCATATCAATGCTAAAAACTATTAAATTATTCAAATTTTAAGATATACTCATCATTATTGCTCAAAACTCATAACTTAAAAGGTACAATCACAATTAAATGAAGGATAATAACTAAATAAGTCAATAACAAAAAGAAGCATATACCAAAATAAAGAGTACAGCACCAAATTCTAAATAATTTTAGGCACCTAAGGTATATGCTAAACCTCATGCTTGTAGTAACAAACATAAGCAACAGTTCCCCTAATTCATCAATCAAACTCATCATCCCCCTAGGAAACTGAGTATTTTTAGGAAAGAATAATTTAGGATATTTGTTTATTTTTCTGTATAAATATGTAGAATATATAATTAGGAAAGAGTCCATGATTCAAGGGATACTAGAATAGAATAGGGAGTTATTATGTTTCTTTTGTCCACTATAAACAATCTTAAGCCACGAATTTTTTGTTGTATCTCCTTTTTCCACATTCTTTGTACTGATAGACAGAAACTTGATCCTAGATCCTTAAGATATATCTTTGTCGCTTACTCTTCCACCCAAAAGGGTTATAAATGTTAACATCCACAGTCTTAAAAAATTTGTGTCACAGGATGACACCTTCAATGAACAAGAGAGCTATTTTAGTAAACCTCATCTTCAAGGGGAGAGCTCTAGGGAAGATAAGGAGACTAATTCTCATCTACCCATTTTGCTGGACCTAACATTTGAACCCATACTTGACTAATTTGAAAATGAAGGGAAAGTCATTCAAGAAAGTGAAAGAGGTCAAGAAGATGCGGTCCAAGAAAATGAAGACGATCATGAATCAGATCAGAGAGGTGGTGAAACTACACAGAATATAAGATATGGTAAGAACCTTGTGTCCTCAGAGAAGAACAAGGTCATTCCAAGATCAACAATAGGTCTGGATTCACAAGTTGTGCAAGTTGAAACCGAAAACCAGAATGATGACCTTGACCTTCCAATTGCCATTAGAAAAGGGACAAGAGAATGCACCAAACACCCTTTTTATCCTTTCTCCAACTACCTGTCCTTTAAAAACTTCTCTCCTACTCATAAAACCTTCCTAGAGAACCTAAACAGCACACCCATACCTACTACCTTATCTGAGGCATTGTCTGCTAGAAAATGGAGACAAGCCATGGATGCCAAGATGGAGGCATTGGAAAAAAATAATACCTAAGAATTAGTTACTCTACCAGTGGGTAAGAGACTGGTTGACCGTAAGTGGATCTATACAATAAAGTACAGGGTTGATGGATCAATTAAGAGATATAAGGCAAGACTAGATGCCAAAGGTTTTACTCAAACCTATAGAGTGGACTATTTAGAGACCTTTGCACTAGTTGCAAAAACAAACACAGTTACAGTGATATTGCCCCTTGCTGCTAATTATAATTGGGACTCGTAGCAATTTGATGTAAAGAACGCCTCTTTTCATGATTTCGAAGAAGAAAATTATATGGAGATACTTCTAGGGTATGGTGGAGATGTTACTGCCAACACTGACTGCAGGTTACAACAAACATTATATAGGCTGAAACAGTCTCCTCAAGCATGGTTTGACAGGTTTACTAAGGTTATGACAAGCCAGGTTACAAACACAGTTAAAGGAACCATCCCTTGTTCATTAAACACTCCAAGTCAAGGGATGTAACAATATTATTAGTCTATGTAGACAAAATTATACTGCCAAAAGTGATATAGAGGAACAGAAACTGTTGAGTCAATGTCTAGCCAAAGAATTTGAGATTAAAACCTTGAAAAAATTTGAAGTATTTTTTGGGAATTGAAGTGGTTCACTCCAAGAAAAGGATATTTATATTTCAGCAAAAATTTATTGTTGATTTGCTCAAAGAGACTGGAAAGAGAGCTTGTTGCCAACATCGCATTAGAACTGAATCTAAAGCTTGAAAGTGCAGAAGAAAATATTGTTGTAGACAAAGAAATGTATGAATGGCTAATGGGCAAACTAATATATTTATCTCACACTAGGCCAGACCTTGCCTATGCAGTAAGCTTAATTAGCCAATTTATGCACAGCCCCAAGGAGACTCAATTGCAAGCTGCCCACGAAATCCTACAGTACCTTAACGAGACTCCTAGAAGGGGAATTCTATACAAGAGATATGGGAATGTGAAGCTTGAAGCCTATACGGATGCTGACTATGCAGGGTCTATTGTAATAGATAGAAGGTCCACCATAGGATATTGCACCTTACTTGGAGGAAACATTTTGACTTGAAGAAGCAAAAAATAGTGTGTAGTGGCCAGATCCAGTGTTGAGGCTGAATTTCAAGCCATAGCACAAGGTATATGTGAATTGTTGTGGCTTAAAATTATCTTGGAAGACCTTGGGATAAAATGGGAAGAACATATGAAGCTTTAATGTGATAATAAGTCAACAATCAGTATCGTCCACAACCCAATCCAGCACGGTAGGACTAAGCATATTGAAGTGGACAAACATTTCATCAAGGAAAAGCTTGATAGTGGCTTGATGTGAATTCTATACATGTCCTCTTAACAAAAACTCACAAAAATCCTCCCCAAGGGACTAAGCAGCCATAATTTTGAAAAGATTGTCCAAGCTGAGAATGAAAAATGCCTATTCATCAGCTTGAGGGGGAGTGTAGAAAACAAGTATTTTTAGGAAAGAATAATTTAGGAGATTTGTTTATCTATACAGATATATGGAATATATAATTAGAAAAGAGTCTATGATTTAAGAGATTGTAAAATAGAATAGGGAGTTATTATGTTTCCTAAAATAAGTAAGTCTGTTGTATATATTTGTACAATGTTTTAATGAAATAATATATAGATTTAACCTATTCTTCAGAATCCCCAAGGTCTTCTAAGATTTCTTCATCATTATTGCTTTCATCATTAATATATTCATAGATCTCGTACCCTTCCCTTTCCTCTTCAATTTCTACATAATGTGGCACTTTTTCCTCTTCAACTGCAATAATACCCCCTGACCTAAAGCTTGAAGGCCTTGAACTTACTTTCTTCTTGAATTTTGCTTGCTGTTTAGTGAATGTTGTAAGAGCACTCGCCCCAAGTACATTACCAACAACACCCCAAGCCAAAGTATTATCGTAAAAACTCTAGAACAAAGTGAGAATCCATGTGATTTTTACATTTTTACCTTTCTTAGCAATGACAGTTGCAGGATTATCACCTTATGATTCAGTATCTCTATTTCTACCTTGAATTTTATGAATTTCTTGCTCCTTTTCTTCCTCATCACCATCTTTATTCAACTCACCAATGTATGCATGAGTGTCAGCCTTCTTCTTCCTAGCATATTCCTCAAGCAATTTCTTTATTTCGGATAGACACTCCCCGCTAGCATTTATTTCCCCTCTTGTACCCATTTGGTGTCCTTTTTGAAACCTCGTCATGCTTTTTCTATTGTCCCCTGTGAGGGTCTACAGGGCCTGAAAACACTGTCATGCGCTTGAATTGGGAAGGCCTAACAATAACTGCCTTACCGTGACTCAAACACAAAATGCAAACAGATGTTTCAACGGAGGTGTTCGTAGTGCGAACAGAAGAGCGAGTGCAAAAATCGAAGTGCGCTTAAGAAAACAAGTTTGAACGGTTTTCCGCCTCAAGTTCAAAACAGAGGCGATGCGGTGGGTTTTCTTATAAGGGAGAATGGTTTCAAACCCTAAAATGCCTCTGATGCAAAAGGGATAGTAAATCACGAAAATATCCCGGACAAATGGGAGCCGAAACTCAGAAAAGTGAGGGAAAAGTCGAGATTTCACTCCCCACACCGTAGCGGCCGCGATTAACTATTATATTCTACTTGTTTTGCAAAAATCACAGATAGGAAAAGTAAATCGAACCTCGAGGGCGTGGTGGTAGCGCTTCGATTTAACAAGGTCTCTGGCGATGCGTCTGAGCTCGGAGGGTGAAATCCTGTTTCCTTGGTCCACCCAATTTTGAAGCGCTAGTACTGGACTCTTCTTTGGTGATCTGAGTCCTGGAATTCGGTTCTTCGGGTTGTTTTGCGCGAAAGGCTCCTCCGTCGCATTGAACGCATAAGCGCGAGTAGCTGCGGTGCTACATAGACTTCGTGCACCGAACACACAACTGATGCTGCTAAATTTTGCAAGTTTAGCGTTGTCATGAATATGCGGGGAAAGGAGAATAGGTTTGGCGTACCGTTTGAGTCCGGCGGAGAGGGAGCGGTTCGCCATGTTGAAGCTACGGCGTCGCCGATGACAGGAGATGGTCGGCGCTGATTGGTTCACGTTGGAGAGGATATTAATTTGCCGCTAAAACGCAAACAGCAAACCGACCCGGCCCATTAAGTAATAATGTCGGGTATATCAGGCTTTTATAGGTTTCGCAAAGGGGATTCAACTCGTCAATTTTTTTATATTTTATATATTTAAATTTAATAAATATTTAAAATAAAATATTAATATTTAACAAAATTAATTATTTATATTATTTAAATTAATTTTATTTTTATTTTTATTATATATTTTGTTTAGTTTATTTTTTTCATTCTGAGTTAACCAGACTCGTCTCAAAACAGGTTACTATTTTTTTGATAGATTAAAATGAAAGTGAATTATCTTTAATTTTTTAATCATCATCCTTCTCTTCCTCATAATAATAAAATAATTTTATATTTTTAAAAATATTTAATGTTCTTTTAATTAATGCTTAAATTTTAATTTTATCTTCTTTTAAAAATTATATTTTGAGATTTAGACTTTAAGTTTACTTCGTCTGATCCTAAACTTTATTGATTTTATCAGTAAACATAATAATATTTTATTTTATTTCAATTAATTTTTAAATTTTACATATTTTGTAAATAGTTTTTTATAAATTAAAATATAGTTTAATCACTCATAAAAAATGAACCATTTTTATTTATCCTAAATTTTAATTACTCAGTAATATTTTTAATTGTACTTTTTTAAACATGATAAAATATTTAAGGTTAAAAAAACCACTAAAAATAATTTTTAAAAAACGAGTTTAGGTAAAGTTATAATAATAAAACAATAATATCATAGTAAAAGTCTAAAATTAATTTTTTTATTTTATATAAAATTATTGCGAGTGTATAAATAAAAAATTAATGAAATTCATAGAGTATAGTTTAATTCTGACTTTTTAAAAATTTGATATTAAAATTTTAAAATTAAAAACTATAAGAGTTTAAAACTACAAATTTAATATAATTTTTAAAAAATATAAAACTTAAAACTAATAATGACCTCATATAAGCTTTAGCAGTTTGGAATGCTAATGTAACTTTATCAAACTTTGTCAAGTAAAGATAAAACACTGATATATTTAAATTTGTATTGTTAAATAATTGTCAAGTAAAGACAAGAAAATTATAAATTAACCGTTCCACTTTAAACATTATTGTGGGGGACCCACAATTTTGTAGTAGGTTATATTGTCTATATTTATTTTATATTTATTGTATCATTTATTATAAATTCTTACTTTTTATTTACTTTCATCATAGACTCGTGGCCACGTACATTTCCCATTCAGCAGTATGAGACTGTCCTTCAGCAGGAGAAGACCCTTTGGTATCAGAAGTCGAGGAAAAAGTGGATTAAACTGAAAAACAGGAACACTGCATTTTTCCATACTCAAACAGTTGTGAGGCGCAAAAGAAATAGAATTTTAGGGTTGCATTTGCCCTCAGGTGTTTGGTGTACAGATGAGAAGCTTTTGAAGCAAGAAGCTCTGGTATCCTTTCAGAGTTTGTTAGGTGTCTCTGAAGCAACGCCTCAGGTGCTGCCACCGTGCCCTATTTCCTTGACGCAGAATGAACAAGCCATTTTGGAAGCTCCAGTTTCTAAGGCAGAGGTTTTTGATGCATTGAGAGGTATGAAATCTTTTACGTCTCCGGGACCTGATGGATTCCAGCCTTTTTTCTATAAGAACTTTTGGCATGAAATAGTGGATGATGTGTGGCATTTTGTGGCATTGACTTTTGCGAATGGTGGCATTGACCCTCATGCTACTGAAACTCTGTTAGTTCTTATTCCCAAGGTGGATCATCCTAGGACATTTAAAGATCTTCGGCCCATTAGCTTGTGCAATGTGTTGTACAAGTTAGTTTCGAAAGTGCTTGTTAATCGCCTACGGTCGTTTCTTATGAGGATGGTCAGCCCACTCCAAAGTAGCTTCATCCCAGGTCGGGGCACTATGGATAATGCTATAATCCTCCAAGAGATCATTAATACTATGTCGAAATCAAAGAAAAAGAAAGGTGATGTTATCTTTAAAATGGATCTAGAAAAGGCTTATGATAGGGTGGATTGGCGGTTCCTCCAAGAGGTCCTTGTGGACTTTGGGTTGCCTGATAAGCTTATTAGATTGATTCTCTCTACAGTTACTTCCTCCAGAATTTCTTTGTTATGGAATGGTGAATGTTTGGAGGGATTTAGCCCTAAACGGGGCCTGCGACAAGGTGATCCTCTCTCACCTTATCTATTTGTATTGTGCATGGAGAGATTGGGGCATGTGATTAAGGAATAAGTTGCAGCTGGGCTTTGGGCTCCCTTTAAGTTGGGTCCAGATAGTCTTCCTATATCCCATTTGTTTTTTGCAGATGACGTCCTGTTATTTGCTAAATTAAAATTGTCCCATATTAGAATGGTGGCTGCTAGCTTGCAGAAGTTCTGTGAGGCATCGGGACTAAAGGTGAACCTACAGAAGTCCAAGATGATGGCTTCTAAAGGAGTTGCACGTGACAGAAAGGTGAAGATAACTCAGATTACTAATATGCACTTCAGATGATGCAAGGAAGGGTTACAAATAGCAAGTTTGGTGAGGTTCTTTCGAAGGTTCAGGGTCGCTTAGCTGCTTGGAAGGGGCGGCTTTTGTCTCAGGCAGGTAGGGTCACTTTGGTTAATTCTGTTTTGTCTTCCATTCCAACTTATACTATGCAGACGCAATGGATTCCTACGGGTATTTGTGATCAACTAGATGCCATTGCCAGGAGGTTTATTTGGAGTGGGGAAAGTATTTGAAAGCTTCATTTGGTAAATTGGGATACTCTGACTCGTCCAAGGAAGGATGAAGGTCTTGGAGTATGCATAGCTCATAATAAAAATGTCTCATTGTTGGGAAAATTGATTTGGGATTTGTTCCATCATGAGGATAAACTTTGGGTTCAAGTGGTAAGGGATAAATATCGGAGCAGGAATATTGATACTTTATTACAGGCTTTGGGTTCCTATTTTCTGACTTCCTTGCGAAGAGCTTTTGAGGAGTTTAGGCCAGGAATTCAGTTTCATTTGGATAATGGTGATTCTAGTTTCTGGTTTGATAGTTGGTTTTATGGTGGCTCTCTTGCCAATGAGGTACCCTTTGTGCATATTCATGACTCTAATCTCCGTGTGAGGGATGTGTGGCAGGACGGTAGGTGGTGCTTGGAGCACCTTCATTCTTGGCTGTCTACGGAGCTTAAGTCACGCATTCTTAATATGCAGGTGTGGCTGCACTCTTCTGCTTCCGATGGCATTGTTTGGGAGGCGTCTGCAAATGGTCAGTATTTGGCTCGGATAGGGTACCGCTGGTTGTGTGATAGGGATGGGGTCTCTTCAAAGAGGTTGGCAGTGGATTTGGAGACTGCCATTATCGGAGTCCATTCGGTTTTTTTTATGGCAGGTTGGCCATGCATGAAGCACTTCCCACAGCAACTTTTCTGGTGCGACGACATGTGGGTCATGTTGGGAGTTGTGTGCGGTGTAGTAGGGAGGATGAGAGCATAGGACATGTGTTTTTTCACTGTGCGCCGGCTATTAAATTGTGGCGGTTGCTACATCTGGAGGAGGTGGTCGGGGTCGTGGCGAGAGTGGCTCAAGTTATGTTTTCAAAGGTGTCATATTCTCCCTCTCATTGTTTGTTGGGTTCTTCGGAATATTCGAAATGAGAAGCTTTTCAATGGGTGTGAATATTCCGTGTGGGAGGCCTTGCTCCGGGTACGTACTCTACATGCTACCATGTTGAGTGCGTTTGCTGATATGGGCACTGCTGCGACTCAGGTTGCCAGGCCTCTGTGGGTCTCTTGTATTTTTGCAGAGGGTTCACAGATCAGCCTTCATGTTGATGCTAGCTCAAGGGGGGAATCGGGTCTTGCTGGGATTGGAGGCCTTGCGCGTGACTCGAATGGTAAATGGCTTTGGGGGTTTAGTGGGGCGGTTGGAGGGGTTGATATCTTAGAGATTGAGCTCCTTTCCATCCTACATGGACTACGCCTTGCTTGGAGAAGGCGCACTCAAAGTCTGTTATGCATCTCTGATTCAGCCATAGCTGTAGAGTTTATGGAGCAGGAAACTTGGAGTACTCATCGACATGCAGCGATTCTTTATTCAACTAAGTTTAGGCATCCCTTTCGATAAGGGAATCAGTGTGCAGATCTTTTGGTTAAGATGGGTGAGTTTGGAGGTTGAAGAACTGATTTCTCCTCCGCTAGAGTCTCAATTGTTAGCTGATGTAGTTGGTATTCCGATCCTTCGGATGTAATTTTTTCTTGTGTTTTTGCTGGTCCATTACCAAAAAAAATATTTTCCATTCAGCGAAATAAAAACAAATAGCGACACCGACACTTACTGACCACGATGACACTAGCAAAATAGAAGAAAATAAAATAATCACACCAAAAAGAAAAATTCACAAATTTAACTTTATTAGACATTTTGTTGCTTATGTTCATGAACTCCCGACATAATTGTTTTTATAAAAATATAATTTTTTTTTACATATAATTTTTCACGAACACACAATTATTTAAGTTCCTGTTACACATTTATGGTGAAAATCACTTTCTACATTTTTTTTCTTTACCATTTCCAACTTTAAATTTGAATGAATTTAGTATCCACCTTAACACAAAGGGATTATTCTTTCACTCTTTACAGATTTTTTTTTTTTCAATAAATATTCAACTATCAGTGTAGATATTTTTTTTTATTTGTATTGATAATACTATATATTATATTAATACAAAATATGATTATATATTATTAAAAGCTTAATTTTGATGTATTGTTAATAAAAAATTATATTGTCAACAATTATAGAGTTTATTTTTATATTAATTATTATAAAAATCATATTCCCGTTTCTTCGTCAAATTCCATAATAAAGCATAAGGGAACTTGTGTTCTTATAACTAAAGGGAATCATAATGTCGACGATATGATAATCTATCCTGAATTATAAAGTAGTGTAATTTGTCTAAATTGTGTCTAAAATTTTAGACGAATTTATGAATTTTAATGTGTGTGTGTGTGTGTGAAAACCAAACACAAACTCGGACGAAATTAAACAAATTAAGTTATTTGATTTCAATAAAATTACTAGAATAAAGTCAAATAAATTTGTAATCAAAGTGCTGTTCTAAATAATTTTTCCAAACAGAAGCATTTTTGGGAGTTCATGGTTTTAGTATCGTGCTAAGTGAGTTTTTTTCACTAAACTTTTGTTTTTTTTTAATTAACATTAATTCAGGATTTTTAATTTTTATAATTTATTTTGAATTTAAAATTTTATATTTATTTAATTTTATTTGAAATATTTATATTATTGATGATTACACCATTTACTCTTTTTATATTTAGAAAATTTATCAACCTCAAAATGCTAATATACATTAATTTATATTATCTTATCTAACAAAATATTACAATTGTTTTAAAAATATATAATTATTAAATTTTAAACTTAAAAATAATTATATTTTTATTTATCGTTTTATATTTATCTACTCATTTAATATTTATATTTATCTACTAATTTGACAAGAACATTCTTAAAAAAAAATTAAACAAAAATGTTTATTGGAGTATTTTTAACATTTTAGAGATCAGTTTTTTTATCATATCAAAATATTTTTTTATACATTATATATTTATTTTTTAATTTAATATGAATATATTTTAGATTTTAAACTTTATTTAACAGATTTCTTTAAATTTATAAATTATGAAATTTAATATCGGACTTATAATATATTTTTAGTAATGTACTAAAGTTATTTAATTTAATAATAGTGTGCATGCGTGAAAATATTTTTAGTTAGTTTGTATGATTTAATCGCAAAAGCTTCGCGTATTACGGGGAGAGGAATTACTTGGCAAATGTTTGAATATATAAGTAATTGTATATAATTCTTTTTATTAATTTTGTCTTTTTTAATGGCTACTAACTTGTTCTATGCTTACATTTATCAAATATATCAATTATTGTATTATTATTCAACGAGTAAACCATTACTTCAATTATTGAAATTACACTGTTATATTCCCTTTAGTTTCTATTAAATTTATAAAAAAAGTATTCCTTTTTTTTTGTCTTTAATGTTAATGAAAACATGATAAAAAATTAAAATTAATTAGCAATTATAATATTTTACAAGGGTAGACATGAAAATAATTTTTTATAAATTTAGAAATTAAAATAAATAACACTTGCTAAAAGAAAATAAGAATTGATTCTTGTTGGACACTTGATTAGGACGTGTCACGTATTATGCAGTGGCCTTTTCTAAATACGATTATTGGTAAACGAAGGCATCAACTTTTGATGTCCTGACAAACTAGAAGGATAGAGAAGAACAAGAAAGGGACGGCGAAAAATAAGTCAGAATAGGTACCATTTTCAGATTTCATATGAAAGGCCTATCTTGTCTTCGTGAAAAGATAAATAATATTTTCAGACTTCGATATTTATTAAAACAATTTGTTAACATGTGTTTATAATTTTATACTTAAACTATTATTTAAAAAAAACTTTTTCCCATAGAAAACTCAATTATAAAACCTATTAATTGTTAGAACTAATAATGCTCAAGTGTTTAGTCAATACACTAACTTAAGATGATGAGAGCAATTACAAGAGTTTATGAAAGTATTTTTTAATGTATTTTAATATTTTTATACATTATAAAAACTTAATGAAAAGAATATTAAATAACCATTTTAAATAAATTAATACAATTAAGACCAAATTATAAATAATATATTTACTTGTTTATTTTATTTTGACAACTAACACATTATAAACTAAAATTAAAATGGACACTCATTAAGATGAAATAAATTAACAAGGTGAAACTCAAATATAATTGTAGTTGCCAAAAATAGGACTGTTTAGCCTCATTTTAATTTGAGGCAAGTTATACAAACCCTTGGTAGGTTACTTATTTAGATGAACAACTTTCTTAATATTGTATTTTATATTTTTTTTCTTTTACAGTAGAACTGTGCTTATTATTTTATCACCATGAGCACTACTTTATATACTCCATCGAATGAATAAAAATCTTAACTCAACCTAATTTGATTGGCTGAACTAGTTCAAAAAAATAATTTATAATTTTTATAAATAGTATTTAATTTATTTTAACATTTTTTAATGTAGCCCATTAAAATTAATTATTTTAAAAGTATATTTAGATTACAATTTATTTAAGTATTTATTCAATATTTTTTAAATAATAACTTATACCATAAATTTAATAAAATAAATTTAAAATAATTAAATTAATAAACTATATAAAAAGTTATTGAAGTAAGGTTGTTTTTTAAGAATGGTTGGTAACTTTTTTTTTATAGGGATCATAGTTTAACTTGTAGCGCAAGTTAATATATAATTTTTTTATCACACAGATACTTAATTAAAATATATATTAAAACTCAATTATTATATACTCACAAACTGCAAGAGAATAACAAAACAAGGTTAAAAAAAAAAACAATAGTAGGATAAAAGTGCTTGTTTGATAATTGACATGGGACCAAGGTTTTTTATTCTCGAAAGAAATAACAAGCACATAAAGTCAAGTGTTTATTATGCTGGCATGGTCTCTTTGATTTGACCGGAACAAAATGCTGTCGCACAAGTAGACTTTGGAATTGGATGGATGCATAGGCACGTTGAAGGGTGCAAAGTTGGCCAATTTGGCGTGAGCTGAGCTACCAATCGAAATTCAAACACAAAATAAAATACCTAAAGCATGCACTAGTTGCACTGTGATTAAAAGACTAATCATGGATCAGGAATATTGAGATAGCTCTGTTTCCACACTGCTGCTATTCATCTTCTTCATTTTTTTGGCTTGTTTAATCTCACCATAGAAGTAAGACACAAAGCCCCAAACCGAGAGTAACAGAGAAACCCCTTTTTCTGCTTGGAACTTCTCTTTGTAGAAAATAACTGCCAAAACTTCCGTTATGGGTAGGAACACCGCGATTAAAATACCCGACAACAAAGACGAGGAACAAAATATAACCCCAATTGTTCCCAAGAAAAAAGCCTGCCACATTATTGCACTCGCCACCAGCACCACATAGTAATTTCCTTCCCCATGCTTAAAATTTCTCGCTTCTCTCGGAATTGCCTACAAATTCAGAAGCACAAATTAATAAGCGGGCCCACAATTAATTAATTCTCAAGAACAAAAATTAAATAGATAACAACAACCTTAAAGTCGTTGTTGATGAACATCCCAACCCCGCAAAACAGAGTGGCAAAGAGGCTCATAACGAACTGAATCTCCATGACAAGAGAGTAAGTGATGGGTTGTTTGGTTTTTTTGTAGACCAATTCGATTAAGGGTAAAACGAAGCCGTATAATGCAGCTGCCATTAGTGTCGTAATGAAACCCGACACATAGTCTTTAGTGGACTCTCCATTAGGACGGTCACCACTCGCGTGAAGAGCCAGAACCCCCGCGCCAACTGTCAGCAAAACGACAGCGTTCACCGAATAAGCCGTGAACTTCTGCCTCACAAGGAGCAAAGCAAAAAAAGCCGTGAAGCCGAGCTGAGTCGCGATTATTAGAGCCGAAGTGGAAACTGGAAGCCGAGCCACGCCGTAGGCGTAGAGATAGTCGTCCAGGCCGGTGAGGATCCCCACGAAGGCGGAGGCAATGAAGAGAGGAAGTTTCATGGAGATCATCTTTGGTTTTTGGGGTTCTCCGGAGGAGAGACGGCGGCGACGGCGAAGGTAGGAGACGGTGAGGGGGATGAGCATGACGGGGAAGCCGACGGTTTCGAGGAAGCTGGAGAGCCAGACGCGGTGGCCGCCGCGGAGGAAGTAGAGACGCATCACGAGGGGGCCACCGCAAGTGCCTATGCTTAGCAGTAAACAGTTTATTATGAGAAGAAACCTCTTAAGGGCTCTGTCTTGGGCTTCTACTCTTCTGTCCGCCATGGCTACCTGCAATTCTAACTCTCCTCTGTGTAGTGTTTTCTTGTTACCAATAATTGAACGGAAGTTGCTATGCCGTCAAACGATCATTTGGAAAGTTTTCGTGAGTGTGCTATATAAATTGACCACTGCTTAGTTTCTTGCTTTTTTTTAATAGGCTAAGATATGAATTTAGTGTTGCGTGTGTCATACTGTTTTAAATTCATTTTTATGTATAAGTTTTCTTTAATTGAGGTTTATGTGGGAACAATTTTAAAATAATCCTGATGTTTGAATACGTTACATCGATGTTACAATGTCATCTTTTTCTTACTGACGTGTACAGTAGCTACATATTTAGTTAGTTCTTTGATTCTTACATGGATTATGTAGTTCTAAATTGAGTAATTTTTAATTTTAAAAGTAACTTACCAAGCACTTTTATCAAACTTTGAAATGATTTGATTTTAATACTTATTTTTTTTAAAAAATTTATAAAATTTATAAAAAAGAAAAGGTACATACCAAATTAAATATAATATTATTTTTTAATAAATTTAAATATAAAAACTAATCAACTGGGGTGTTAGGATCTATGCAGAGGTACCCTCCATCCTAGCTTACCATGAAAATATGTATAATAATAATAAGCAATGAAATCTATATTTTTGGAGAGTATATGATTGATTGTAAAAGTAATTTGCTATCCTCCACAAGCAATTAATTGTCAACGTAAGCATAATTATTTAGAAGAATGAAGCGAGACAAATCATTTCATTATCTTTCTCACTCACACGAAAGGAAAATTCGCATATATTCATTTTAAATATTGAACTCTCAGTCCACCAACACAAACCTTGCTCCATTGTGAATCCCATATTATGGCTTAGTCTTCCAAAAAATTATAAATTCGTAGATTAAATATGCTTTTGACCGTTAAACTTTTATTTTTAATTTTAGTTTTTACTGTTTTAAATTTAATATTTTTAATGATTATCAAATAATAATGTAATTAACTTAAAAGTAATCGTATATAAACTTCTTGTGAAATACTAAAATATAAATATTAGAACTATATTTTTAATCTGTATAGAATTGTATATATTAATAAGTTGTACATTATATTTTATTTGTTAGAAAACACAACATTCATTGTAAATAAAACATTATTAATCAATCTCCTTAGGACATTCCCCAAAAGAAACAAAAGTAATTAAAAAACATTACAATTAAAACTACTAGATAAATTATTTAGTATAATTTATAAAAAAAGATAAAATCACTTTTGAGTTATTAACAAGTGCCTTGGCATTTTTCAAAATTAGAGACATATTAAAATTACAAGGCATTATTCATATGGTAATATGACATGATAATGTTGTGTGATTTTCAACAAAGTAAATAAGTAATCAAAGTAGCGGTCAACAAGCGATTGGAGATGCATGAGTAAAATATTCTTATAGTATCCTTTTTTGGAATATATGATATTCTCTTACTAGTGTTTAATGTCTATCTACTGTGTAACGTTTCAAAGGGGAAACATGCCACTAAATATGTAATTTTAGTAGAATTAGCTTTTATATAACTTTTGTGTTCCATAAACTCCAAATTTAGTTAGTTGATTTTTATGGTTTTTTTATTAATATAATATTTTATCTATAAAAATATTTATTTTTTTAAAATATAGTAAAATTATATATATTATTTATAATATTTTATTAATCTATGTATATTTATCAAATATTAAGATCCATATTAATAAATATGTACAATATTGAATTATAAATATTAATTCTAGATTAAATATGTAAATTTGTAGTCTCTTAAAATTTATTATTTTATTTTAATTTTTTAGTCAAATTTACTAAATATTTTTTTATTTTTAATTAAAATATTTATTTACTATATAATTAATACTTATTATACTTTAAAAAAATTATAGTTTAATCCATGTACAAATATTTTGTTATATTTTAATTTTTATTATTTTTAATACTATTAATGACACAAATAAAAATATAAACCGCAGCATTAAAATATAATTAAACATTCATATAAAAATTAAAATATAAATTTTTAAGTATAATAATTAATTTATAAATTAGTTTAACTGTAAAAATTAAATATAAATTAAATATTTTTAATTATAAGAAATAAAGACATATTTTTAAATATATTAATTATATACAATTTTTATATTTTTATTTACTGTAAGATTTATGTAAATAAATCACTCTTCTATTAATTATATAAATAAATATACTAATCTATTGATTTTAGAAAAAATTAGTTACCGTTTTATGGAACACTCTATAGTTTGTGTGAAGTATTTATTATGTTATTTATATTTATTTTTAATAAATAAAGTAGGTGGGAATCTAAGTTAAAATAAACATTATTATGATAATGAAGATAAGTTTAATAATATTATTATTTATAGGATAGGAAGTAGTTTACGAAATTATTCCTAATAAATGAAATATTTAATATGAGTAATGGAATAATAAATATAATTAGTATATAATATACATAAAAGTCAGAGTCATTATGTCAGCATTTAATGTTTGGCACACGGTTTGAAGATAAGCTTTCGCAAGCAACGACATCCAAGTGATACCAAAAACTGGTGAACTTCAGAAATACATGTAAATAAAATGATGATATATATAAACGTAGTTTAACTTAATTTTAAATTAATAAATATTTTAATCAAATGTTAACAATTCTTTTTTTTTTAATTTTAGTTATTAGAATTAAGTTTAAATAAAAAATATATTAATATATTTTTAACAAGATTTTAATTTTGAAGATAAAGGTTAACAAAATTATGTTTTTACTAATTTTAGTTATTGAAGAAATTTACTTCAGACCATGAGCGAAATTTATTTATTTATTTTTTAACACGTTTTCAGACTCTAAAGTTATATAATAAAAATTTAAAATCTAATAAAATTTATTAATATCATAAAATATCGAAATTACTATTTTATTTATATTAAATGCTAAAATTTTAAAAACTTAGTCAATACTAAACACATCATTATAATTAAAAATTGTGTTTGAACGTGTACTGTCCAAGTGTCCAACTATTGTATAAACTCTGACGTTTAAGGATTAAAAAAATTATTAATAACATATATTTTAATAAAATTTTAATTATTATTAAAAAATATAAAAAGCACACAAGTTTTACATTTTTTTACTTTTAAATTAATAAAAAATAATTATTTTTTAATAAAAATGTGATAATTAGCATACTTCGAAGTCAAAATTATCAGTTTACTATTCAGCTAAACAATCGGCGTGGACAGGCATAAAAAATAAAATAAAAAATCACTGTCCTTCATAATTAACCACCACGTTATTTGGCAAGTCAACTTTTTCAAGCTTCTTGGTAAGTTAATTAAGATAATCTTGTATTTAAAAGCTTCACAAGGAATAAAAAATATCATATATCAGATCTTTTGTTTGTGATGAAGTTTAATAGTATGTATATTACGTTGACAAAAGCATCTTAGCTTTTCAAAATTTCTATTTCATAACTTTTATTTGATAAGTTCAATTAATTTAATTTAATAAATAAATAAATAAATATTTAATTTGATATATTATTTGTTATTTTTTAAAGTTATTTTCAGCAGTTTTTATCAAATTAATAATATATTATTTAATTTTTTTTTCTGATACCTCTATTAATTTTTTTTCGTATTTGAGTAATTAATTTTTTAATAATAAATGCTATTTTAGTATTTTCTCGTATTCAATCACAAAATATTAAATCATAAGTACTTACTTTAAAAATCTATTTTAAAATATATACTAATACTTATTCTAAAATTATACTTTCTCTGATTTTTTTATAAGAAACAAAATAAATATTTTTTTTATTTTTTATTATAAAAAATAAATGATAAATTTAAAGTATATTAATTATTAAATTAATTTTATATTTTATATTAATATTATTAAATACATAAATTATTAATTATATTATTTAATATTCTGAATATTTTTAAAATAAAATTTATATTTATAAAAAATATAACTGATTTAATTATTTTTCTTGATCTTTGTAATTTAATTTTTAATTTTTTATAAAAAAAAGTGGAACTAGTAATTTTGAAAAGTTACTAAAATAACATTCAGATACATTATGGAAACTTTGGAAAGTGATACTTATAAACTTATGGAAAGTAATGCTCCGATGTTGCTATCGGAATATGTACCTTCAAAAGTTAATCAATGAAAGTGAGAGTTCCAAGAACTTGTCTGGGCATCCATAGAACTGAAATCAGGGAAGAGAGTTTGCTGCTAAAGATTTTTGTTTCTTTAACAAAGATAACAATATGGTGAATTCATTATCAAACAAAAGAAAGAAGAATTATAATATTTAATGAGAGTGATATAGTAATGCTTCAGTATATAAATACCACAAATATGTTTACTCAAAATATATAAACAAGTAAATAACAAATAAAATAAGCAAACACATATCTTAATTCTTAACCAAACCATGAATCCCATGAATAGCGAATAAAACGGCATTAAATTGATCCTGTAACTGTTCTACCTCACCCAAAATCTAGGCCTAAAGATTATTCAACATCGATGTAGGGGGCACATAGTCATGGTTATGCCAACTACCATTTATGAAAAAAGCCCAACTACCATTCCAATCTAAATTGATCTACTGTTTACCATTTAAAATATTATGAATTACAATTTAAAAATATTAATCCATTTATGTCATGTTATGTCCTTTTTTTTGTTTTAATTTATACTGAATTATCTATTAATTTAGAAATAAAAATATTAATTATATTAGTGATATTTTACTTAAATAGTTAGAATAATCTCTAATAATTTTTTTACATTTTTATTATCCACAGTGTACGCTCACATTTTGCAAGACTGATAGGCAAATGAAATTTTACATTGGGCTAGTTTTTCCATTTTTGGGTCACATTCGGCTTGTTCAAATACAGCACGCACTTTGTTTTTGGACACCACGAGCAACAAAACACCAAATGGTGTCATGGAAAAGAAAGCAAAACAAAGACATCGTCTCATAGCGTGGCCTAATCAGCTGATCCGAACAATCAAAGCCTTTCTCTCTCCTTGGGTTCTGCAAGACTGATTGGGGATTTATTAGGAGACAGTTGATGATTGA